CTTCAGCCTGGACACACTGGGCGCCTTCGGAGACTCCCCACTGGGCTGTGAGCTGGGGGCCTCGGGCCTGACCCCCGTCTCCGGCGGCAGTGACCAGTCCTTCCCGGACCTGCAGGTGACCGGTCTCTACAGCACCTACTCGACCCCGGACAGTGCGGCCACGCCAGCCGTCACCTCCTCCTCTCAGTACCTGGGAGCCCCGGGGAACAAGCCGATAGCCCTGCTTTGAGCCCACAGCCTCGCCTGCCCCAGAACCTGGGCCCAGGAAGGATGCTCACCGAGCCGGGTGTTCCTGCAAGAAAGGCCCCTCACCCTCCCACAGGCCTCTGAACGGTCGCTGGGACTGCTGGCCGACAGGGCAGTAGCTGCTCTCCTCCCTGACCTCCACGGGAAGTTTCTGGGGCCTCCCCAAGTCAGGAGGACAGAGGAGAGCGGACAAGCATCCCCGCCTCCCCCACTCTTGACGCTTCTCCGAGGCTTGAGATGCGAGGCCTAGCCGAGCTGAGAACAAGGTCTCTCTAGACTGCTTCCCCAGTCTGGCTCCCAAACAACCTGCAGCCCGCTTTGGGACGCATTGGTGTGCCATGCAAACACCCCAGGGGGAAGGCCTTTAATTTATTATTCTCCTAGGACGAAACACCTGCCTTAGCCTCCGGCGGACAGGCCCTGAGGCTGGGAGCGGGGCTGGCAGACCGTACAACTTCCCTTGGACTGGAGCAACTTGAACTCTGAACCAGGCACCTGCCCCGCTGGCCTCCGGGCCCCCTTCTCCCTTAGTCCGTTAGGGTTTCACAGAGTGAATCCCTGGGCCATGCCGGGCACTGTGACCCTGCGAACATTTATTTATATTTATTGGAGCACGTCCAGGCCACTTCTTCAAACTCAGCCTGTGGCCCCTGGCACAAGACTCTATGGTCCCTCCCGGCAGCCCAGCGGTCCTAACTCCTAAATTACCCGCGCACCACGTCTCCAACTGGCTCTTCAGCTCTTTGCAGCCTTGGGCTGCTTTTTACAACAAGCAAGCACTTTTGATACTGTGAAACATCCTATTTTTTAAAATTAGAGACCAGATATTTTTCTAACCGTTCAGTCATGATTCGAATCTCTTGCCACGTGTACCTAAAAAGAGAGGCGCCCTAGTTTTGAGCGCTGGGGGCTTCAAGTCAGGATGGGAATGGGAGGAATGGCAGGGGGCTTTCTGTACTGGAATTGAAGACACCCCTGATGGAAAGAAAGTAAACTGTGAACCAGGTAAAACTTGACCCACGTAGCGAGTGGGGCTGTCGAGGCCGCAATGCAGAGTATTTATGGGTACTTTTTGGCCTGTCTCACTGCCCCGTGACCTTTTTTATGTTTCTTTCCCCCCTCTTGTTGCCAGTTACTGACTTTCCAAGTGGCAGGTTCTGCAGACAGTCGGGTTAGAGGGGACCCAGGTGAGTGGGCTGGGACCAGAGGAGGTAACCAGGGATCAGCCTACGGCAGCAGCTTATACCACTGTCCTGACCAACATCTGGGAGTTCCTGAACCCTAGAGCCAGAATTTTCTGATTCATCCACAGCCACCTGGGAGGCTTGGTGTTCAGGCCTGTCTCAAAGGACCATCTCTAACTTCTTCCTAATTCTGGAACTTTCCACCAAGCATCACCATCGTTACACACAGCTCAGTGCTGCCCGTCTGACTGGCACTGCTCAGCTGCTTTGTGTGACGTGACCTGCCCCCCGCCGAGAAGATGTCTGAGTCATTAAGGAAGACGCGTGTTCGGGTGATGCCAGGACTGTGTACCATTGTGGTGGAGAACCGTCTTCTGTCAATAAAGGCTGAACGCAGCTCTGTGGCGTGGGTGGGTGGGTGGGGTTGACGGGGGAGGGAGGCGTAAAGGACAACAGCGCCCCTCGCCCCTCACAGCAGAGATACCCCCCTTACAGATGGGAAAACCGAGGCCCAGAGAGGGAACACTGAGCCCAGGTCTTCTGATGCCAGGTTCCCATTGTGCCAGACACTGGGAGGACTTTGTCGTTATCGGTAAAATTAGCCTGGCCGCCGGTCACCATCCCATGGTGCCAGGCTCTGGATGGGCATTCGCTTACTGTTCAGAAGGCGAGGCTCAGAGAGGTTGGGTAGGACTCGGGATCCAGTGAGGAGGCAGGACTGAGTCCGTGTGTGCCAGGTCCAGAGCCCGAGCTCAGCAGCATTCCCCAGAGCTGGCTCTCGGTGCCCGCCTGGGGTCAGAGAAGGCAGCAAGGTGGGAGGAGGGGGCACCCTTTTCAGCACCAGGCCCTGCGCCAGTCACTGCTGTAAACTAGCTCATTCCATCCTCGCTACAACCCTAAGAGGCGTGTCTTACTAGTTATTACACCCATTTTGCAGACGGAGAAACTGAGGCTCAGAGGACTAATGGAGGTGACTTGCCACCCAAGGTAACAGCAAAAGGGCATATTAATTAGGAGTTGGTTGAACTCTTAAGCCCACCCAGGAAGGGGCTTGCAGCCTCACTGGGGAGACCAGATTCACACACATGCAACAATTAGCAAGTAGGGGAGGTAGGGGATGATGGGGCTGTGGGTGGTATCGGGAAGTGCTGAAGGGGGCCCCACCTCAGTGGAGAACAGGCAGGCCGCAGGGAGGGGGTGCCTGAAGCAGCCCTGGGATGCCTTTCTCTCCCCAGCACCCCTCTTCCTCAGCTTGGCTCCAGGGTGGCCCTGTTGACTGAGGCCTGACCAATAAGAGCATCACAACCCCCGGGCATCTCCGGTGACTGACTGGGGGGCAAGTGACTCAGGCCATACTGGTCACAGCCAATAAGCATCACCTGGGGGCTCTGTAGAAGCTCTGAGACACAGGGGTGCCCTCCTCCTGGGGTGCTAAGCTGGGAGGATGGCGGCTGAGTGGCTGGATCACCACGTGGAGAGGGCTGGGGAGCCCTTTCTTGAGTCGCATCCATTCCTTACCACAGGCAAATGGGGCCAGGTATGTACAGAGTCAGGGCAAAAATGCCAAGGCCACAGGGTCACGGGCTCTGGGCAAGAGCCCCAGTCACAGCCAGAACCCCACCTGTGCAGGGACCACACTGACGCCAGAAGAAAGCATAGAGGAGAGACGGAGGAATGAGGCTTAATTGAGGGTTTCTCTGCAGTTGGCCAACTAATGGGAGAAACATACTCATTGCCACCCTTTGAGGGCCCGCCGTGTGCATCGTGGAGTTAAACACTGCTCCCGCAGCATCTCCCTGAAACAGCACAACCAGACACCCAGCCAGTGGGATGGTCCCATTTCCCAGATGAGAAAACTGAGTCTCAGATCATGATTGTGCAGCTTTTCTTCCCCCTCCACGAGAAATCACCCACAGTCTAACAACAAAAAGACAAATAACACTGGCTTAGGAGCAGAGGGGGCTTACTCCATGCTACAATGTGCACTATGACACAGTGTATCTTATTTTTCCCTCCTACTCCCCATGGTGTAAAGCCGCCACCCCCTGTGGTGGGCAAAATAATGGCCCCCAAAGGCAGCCACATACTAATCGCCAGCACCTGTGACTGTATGCTACGTGGCAAGGGGAATTAGGGTAGCAGATGGAATCAATGTTGCTCATCAGCTGCCCTTAAGCTGGGAGAACAGCCTGGATTATCCAGGTGGGCCCAATGTAATCACAGGCTCAAAGTAGAAGAGGGAAGTCAATGTCAAGCTCTGAAGATGGAACGAGGCCTCTAGAAGCTTCAAAAGCCAAGAAAACAGATTCTCCCTTAGAGCTTCTAGAAGGACTGCAGCCTTGCCAGCACCCTGATTTTAGCCCAGCGAGACCTATTTCGGACTCCTGACCTCCAGAACTGTAAGAGAATAAACTTGTGTTGTTTTTAAGCCACCGAGTTTGTGCTAATTGTTACAGCAGCCGTAGAAAACAAACACACCCCCATTTTACAGAAGAGGAAACGGAGGCTCAGAGAGGCCGAGTAGCTTACCTGTGATTAGCAAGGGGTAGAGATGGGATTCCGATGACACTCTGCTTCCCCACGGTCAGTCGTCTGTCTCAGAGGGCTCAGTGGACACTGTCTACTTGCTGGTTTAAAAAGGAGCCAACGCAGTGGTTCAGAGTCCGCCTGCCGATGCAGGGGACACGGGTTCGTGCCCCGGTCCGGGAAGATCCCACATGCCGCGGAGCTGCTGGGCCCGTGAGCCATGGCCGCTGAGCCTGCGTGTCCGGAGCCTGTGCTCCGCGGCGGGAGAGGCCACAACAGTGAGAGGCCCGCGTACCGCAAAATACATAAATAAATAAATAAATAAATAAAATAAAAAGGAGCCAAAACTCTGAGGTTACGCTGCTGGGATTTAACCCTGGGTCTGTAGATCTCCTGGCCCCTTCCACGGCACCGTACTGCCTGGTGTAGTGTTTGCTCCTGAAAGGCAGCTGGTGGAGGTTAGAGGAAGGATAAAAGGTCAGAAGTAGGAGATGAGGTGGTGCCTCTGGAGGATGCTGGTTGTACCGATGCCGTTCCTCTGGGTACAGATGCTGAACCTTCCATCTCCAGAGTCACAGTCCCCCGAGTGCAGGGGTAGCAGGGCAAAGACTAAATAGGCAGCTGAAACACGGGAAACTTCATTGGCGGAAGGAAGGGAGGCAGGGCAACCGGGGGAGGAGCAACTGAGTGGGCAGCGGAAGCGGAGGCAGAGGAATTGGGAATTTACAGGCTCGCTGGTGGGGTCTGTACATCCCGCCCAAGATGTCTGAGGGATGCAAGGAAAAAGGTTCAATGTCTTTTGAGTTAAAATGGCTTCTAGGCTCCACCCAACAGGATGGCTACCATAAAAAAACAACAAACAGAAAACAACATGGGTTAATGAGGATGCGAACACATCAGAACCCTCGTGCAGTGACGGTGGGAATGTAAAATGGTGTAGCCCCACGGAAACCGGCGACTGTTCCTCAAACACTTAAATACAGATTTGCCACGTGACCCAGCAATTCCCCTCTGGGAATATACCCAAAAGAAAAGAAGTGAAAGTAGAGACTCGAACAGATATTTGCCATTCATGTTCATAGCAGCACTATTCACAGCAGCCCAAGTGTCCATCGACGGATGATGGATAAACAAAATGTGATCTATATAATGATGGAATTGTTCAACCTCAAAAAGGAAGGCAATCCTGACACCTGCTACAGCATAAATGAACCTTGAGTACATTATACGAAATGAAATAAGCCAGTCACAAAAAGACAAATACTGTATGATTCTACTTCTATGAGGCACCTAGAATAGCTAAGTTCAGAGAGACAGAAAGTAGACAGAATTGTAGCATCCACCTCAAAAGCTCATGGGATTGCACGGGACGAGGCCAGGGCACTGGAGGTAGCCAGTTGCCGTCACCCTGAGCATTCAGTTTAGACCCGGGCTGCCCACCCAGGCCTCTGTGCACACTCAGGGGTCTGATCCTTTCTCCCTTCCCTGGAGGCGCCTGTGCTAAGTCTCTCGAGGGAAGAAAAGTCGACCTCATCAGGGAAAGTCTGTTCAGCTGCCGGCAGACAGCAGCTTGCGTCCATGTTTGAAATTGAGCTGCAAGCATGAAGTGGTCCCCCGCTCCCCCGGTGGCCTTCGGGAGGGGAAGTCAAATCAGAGCTTTGTCCTCCTGAGATAGGGGCTTGCACAAGATCTCAGTGGTTGTCGGAGAATGGGCAGTGATTCCCCAGTGAGGCGGCCTGCTTTCTCTGGTCCAAATAAGCCAAGGTCAAAGTACTTCCTTCAAAAAATTATTCATTCCACACATTTCCCGGCAGGTTCCTCCGCCCACTGTTCCTGGGTAGCAGCTAGTCATCGACTTATCATCCCTCCCAAACCAGCAGGGCCTCCCCCCAACAGAAAGCATTCAGTTCCCAAAGCAGCATGGACTCTTCCCTGCCCCCTCCAGTCTCAGGATGCGACAACGGCTAATTTATCTTTCTCCCACCCCTCACTGCACCCACACCACCTTCATCGGCCAGAGCTGTCATTGGCCGACGGCCTCAAACATCCTCCAGCATCCCAGCTTGTAGGGGCTTCCCCGGGCAACCTCGCTGGCCTCCAGGTTGGACAGGTGTAATGTTTGGTGTCCTCAAACTGCCCATCACAGCAGTGGAGGGTGGCCAACTCCCTCCCATCACTGGCACCCAGGGACAGATGGACGGGGCCAGAAGGGTCGCAGGTCCTGATGCTGTGCGGCCTTCAGGTACTGGCGGATGCAGCGCGAAACCCTCCCTGAGCGAATCAGTGTGGTCCTCGTGCTCCAGTCCTCGGGAACCAACAGCTCTGTCCATCAGGGCCAGATCCCACCGACGGACATTGAGGCAAGAGGCGAAACAGTGAAGGTGACCCGAAGGGCCCTGCAAGGCAGGTGATAGCAAGCACAGTGGTGACACCTGTGAGCAAGATGGGCTGCGAGTTTGGAGAAGGCTTTCCTTCTCTTCTTTGTCCTCCCAACCTGGGCTGGAGGATGCCTGCCTCTTCATGCACCCTCCAGGACATGGGAGGGTTCGTCCTCTCCTCCTCGGAGGGAAGGGGCAGGCAGAGGGCTGTGAATCACATAAAAGAAGTCTCCCAATGCCCTTGAACCTACGGCTATGCAATTCTCTGCTAATGAGAGAACTAAGCCTGGTAATGGGACGCTGCTAGTGACTCACTACTAGGGGCCACGTGGGGAGCAAAATACCATTTTACGCTCTTAATAAAAAATCATTCATACCCTTTCCTGGGTGACGCAACAGGATCCGAATAAGCACCATTACAAAAATAGGTTTTCTCTTGTCTTGTCTCTATTTTTCTTGCTTTGTTATGCTGCTATAAGATGATTACATCATGAGCTGGTCTCAGAGTAAAAATAATAAGATTCTATGCTCTGATATAAAATGAGCCTAAAAAGAACACCTGGATCCCACAAAGCAGGCACCGGAAAGTGGCTGGAAACTGGGGTGTCTGGGTTCAATTCAATTCAGTGACGCAGCAAAATGTCTTAAGAGACAAAACACAGACTTGCCAACAATGGAGAGGAGGTGATTTCTGCTTGGAAGGGGCCACTTCTGAGCCTTTTATTGAAACAGGAGCGACTTGGGGGTCAGCAGCCTTGCAGCAGTTTTAAAAAGCGAATTCCCAAGGTGCAGGCGAGGGCCTGCAGTCAGCAGATCCGTGCGGTTTCTCTTGCCCGTGGACCTGCAAGTGGCCAGCAGGACCGGGGTCAGGTGGAGGCCGGGCTGTCCATGGTGGACAGGAGGTGAATGATCTGGGCCCGCTCGGCCGGGCTGACGTGCTGACATATGTACACCACGGAGTCCACGGCCACCTCGGGGTTTTCTTGAACCAGGCTGCATGGGAGGGGAAAGAAGGGTGAGGTCATTCCTGCCCCTGAGTTCAGTGGGCCCTACGGCAGCCCCAGATCCCTGTGCAGGGCCCCTTCCCATTCCTGGGGCGGGGGGCAGCCAACCACCCAGAGCTCCCAACACTCTTCCTGCTGTGGTCACTGTCACACGAGTCCTGGCTTTTGCGCTCGCTGACAAGTCCAAGAGGTGGGTGGGCAGGCGGGGCGGGCACTCACCCTCGGATGGTCTTGAGGACAGAGTCTCGCTTCAAGTACTCTATGTTCTCGCGGATGGTGGAGCGCAGCCCCTCTCCCGCCTGCCAGTGCTGCTCCAGCCACTGCACTGCCGTCTGGTTGTTGTCCCACAGGTAGGCCTGGGGAGCGAACAGAGACTGCGTCAGGGAGGGACACCCTGCCGGGCGGGGCTCCCCCTCGGGCCCCCCTTGGCCCCCGCCTGCCAGCCCACCCATCTCTGCCCCAGGACCTTGACGGCCCCCTCCATCTCCATGAACCAGCGGCGCAGCATGGACTGGACGTGCACGTGGCTGAGGTCGCTGCAGGCCTGCAGGACCTCCTGCTTGACCTGGTCCTCCAGCAGCAGGCGACGCAGACGCCAGTACAGGAAGGTGCGGGCGGTCTTCCAATCCAGGATGTCCTGTGGACAAGCCCCGGGCCTGAGCCCCCAGAAACGGTGGGGCGGGGGACTCGGGAGGTTGCCGGGGCCCGGCCCTGTGCTGGGGAAGGCTCTGGGACCATTCCCATTTTACAGGCTGGGAAACTGAGGCTTGGAGAGGCGGCAGAGGCAGGACACTGCCAGGTCTCTAGGCTGCCTCTCCTGGAGAACAAACCTGGCGCCCACGTCCACCTCCAGACACAGAACACGGGCTCACCAGAGGTACGGAGGGCTTAGGCGAGGTAGGAAGGAGCACGGGATGCAGGGGGAGCAGGACTGGGGATGTCCTCGTGGGGACAGGGCAATAGGGCGGGGTTGTGATGGTCAGTGGTGGGTGAATGCAGGGTGGGAACAATGGTTCCCAAATCTGGACCTGCAGTTCTAAACACACACAGAGGTTAGACTGGTGGTTCCCAAACTTGGCTACTTATTGGAATCTCTTGGGGATCTGAAAAAAAAAAAATACTGATGTCTGGCTTCTCCCCACTCCCACCACCCATATTCTGATTTAATTGGTCTGGAAAGCCACCTAGGCACTAGGATTTTTTTGTTTTAAAGCTCCCCAGGTGATTCTAACGTGTGGCATTTGACTCATCCCAAAGCCCTGAGCCCAAATATCCTCTGTGTGTTGGAAACCAGGTGACCTTAGGATGGGCCATTCGCGCCGACCCTAGAGCTGCAGGCTCTTACAGAGATGGTACCCTTCTCCAACATCCTGCTGGGCTTGTCGTGGAGGTCGGCGAACTGCACCGCCACCTGGTGGTAGATGGGCAGCAGCAGGTCCTCCCGGGCCTTCAGCTGGCCCTCCAGCTCCTTGCGGTGCTTGTCGGAGAGCTCAGACATTCCTGCAGGCAAGGGCAAGAACCAGGGTGGGCAAGACAGGCCTCAGCTTTAACTCTGATAATGCCCAGAAGTCAAGTCGCTCGTGCAGCCTCAAAAATGCACCCAGAGTTGCAAGACAGCATTCAACACGCAACTTCAAATTTATCCCCTTTTATCAGGCCCGCTGTGCTTACAGGACACTATCAGTTACCATTTGTAATATATATGGTAAAATCTAAGGGGGAATATTATAAACAAGTCTATGCCAATTCGATAATTTAGATGAAACAGACCAATTCCTTGAAATATACAAACTATGAAAGCTCACCTAAGAGGAAACAGATTAAACTGAACATTCCTATATATAATAAAGGAGTTGAATTTGTAGTTAGAAACCTGCTATCAAAGATTTAAAGACATAGTGCCAATTCAAACTCAGAAAATAGGAGGAAACACTTCTCAACTCGCCCTGTGATATCAGCATTACCCTGATACCAAATCAAAGAAATTATACACCCGTCATCACCATCATCATAAATCCTGTGAATTTATGATGACACAGATCAGTTATCAGTTATAAAGACACTGACACCTAACATGGACTTTTAAAGAGAATTACACCTAAAGTTACAAGTGAAACAAAGCTGTCACTCAAACAAAAATATGTCTGATGGAAAAATTCTAAAGGGTAATTTTGCTACCAAAATTCTAATGTTTCTTATTGGCTCGAAATACTTCAATTATTATATCTTGTGTGTGCCGAGAAATACATTCACTAAGGCATAGTGTATATTTTTTAATGTTAAAGGAGTTGATACACTGTATGTGAACATTTAAAATATCTCATAATTTTTGCTGCTGTGTTTTGGTATGTCTTCACTATTTTTAACATACCAGAAACCTCCAGCAATGAGAGGGCTGAGCCTCTGTTGACCTCTGAGAAGGGATTCATTTCAGACCCACTCACCTAGCTGTTCCACAAGCTTCTGGTAAATTGGGTCGATTCTTCTCATGGTCTTTACCAGATCTTTCTTCCGGTACTTAATCTCCACTGTTCCCTCTGGCTCCAGAACACTCGCTCTGAAAAAAACAGCAGCAGGGGGGGTGGTGTGTGAGATGTCCCCCAGCAAGCGACAGCCAGAGGACACAGCAGGGGGAGGCAAGACAGCCAGGAAATCTGGTGTCAGTCCTCTGCTCTTTCATTGACTCACTGTGTGACCCTGGGCAAGTCACTTCCCCTCTCTGGTCATCTGCTTCTACATCCATAGAATGAAGAACTAAACCAGCTTTTAAAATAAAGTGTTCTGGGACTTCCCTGGCCGTCCAGCGGTTCACACTCCGTGCTTCCACTGCAGGGGGTGCGGGTTTGATTCCTGGTCGGGGAACTAAGATCTCACATGCCTCATGGTGAGGCCAAAAAGTAAAAAATGGAATGGACTATTCTGAACTCTGGAAGGCCCTTTCAGCTCCAAGAGCCTATGACTTTCTCCAGAACAACATAAGCCTCGAGCTCTTCAGCCACAGTCCTTTGTGGCCTTCCTAATCTCTGCTCTCCTAGGGCCAGGGTACTGTTTCTGATCTCTTTAAAGCACACAAAGGCACACGGAGGGATCCAAGGTATGAGTGACCCTCTCATTCCCAACTCTCTCACTCACCCCTCAGGCTCCCCCTGCCCCCTTTTCTTTTGATAGCTTGGAAACCCTGAGCAATACTATATGTAGCTCTGAGCTTCCTGGTGGCCAGAGTGAAAAGTTAATGATGGCCCCATTCAAGGCTGTTCTCGTCCTGAGTCTGCCGGGAGGGTGATCTCAGCAGCCTTCCATGAAGGTCTAGGGCCACTGAAGGCAGGGCAGGTTTGGCTCATTTGCACCATATCACAATGCCTAACCCACCACCTGAGACATAGGAGGTACCTAATAAATATTCATTGGATTAAGGAATGAATAAGGGAATAGACACAGGAAGAAGGTGCCTATCTATATTTTGGGCAGAACTACTCTTGAAGCTTTTAGAGTCTACACAGCATTTGGCATAGTCTTCATTTTGAAGGCACTCAAACACTGAGTTGCAAGTATTATTGTAATTATCCTTTCTGTAAGAGTTCCTGGGATGAATTCCTGATTCAAAAAAAAAAAAAGTGCCAAGAAGGTTTCTCTCCCCTGAAGAACTGGTATCCTGTCATGCAAGTATTCATTCAGTCATTTGTTTGGCCAGTATTTCCCAAGCACCCACTAGGAGTCAGGCACTGTACTGGGCCCTGGGTTATATAAAACTGAAAAAAGAGCTCTACAGAAGAGCTTTGGGAGAGACTCAGAGTCTAGTAAGAACTAGATGACTGGTCATATTTCCCTTTTCATCCTGGCTGCCAGGAAGCTCAGATGCTTTGGGTCTTTCTTAATTTGATTGCAAACTTCCTTGGGAAGCAGGTGAGTATAAGTGATGAAAGAAGAGACAATTCCTCCACCACTTCTGGGCTCCAGCCACTAATTCTACTGAGACCATCCAGTCGCACACTGGATGCTAGTTTCAGATTGGTAAAACTGGAGGCTCTCTGTCCCTTCAGAAACTCAGAACACCCCTGTGATCCTCAAACCAGTGGCTCAAAGGTGATGGGGCCTAAGGACTGGGAGTGAGAACAAGAAAAGGCTAAGGTGGGTTGGGGGTGGTGCATCCACCTGCTCTCTCTGTCCGCGTATATTTCTATGCACAGTGGGTTGATGGAGGTGTCCATGACCGCCCAGGAGCCTCCCCGGAGCTCCGCGCAGGGCGGGATGTAGATCAGGACAGGCTGTTTGTACTTCCGGAGGCCATCCACAATGTAGGCTCCAAACTTCAGCACCTGGTCGTACATGTCTGAAAGGCAAGGCAGCCGCCCGGTGAGGTGACTGCAGGCCCCGGTCTTCGCTGTCCTGGGGGTTCTGGGAGAGCGTGGTCAGCTGGGAGGCTGTACAGCGCTACGGAAAGACTCTCACTGGGCCGAGAGGCAGGAACCGGCCCAGGCACAGATTGCTCCCTAAGTGCTCACGGGACCTTGGACGGGTCCCCCTCCCTTCCTGGGCCTCAGTGTCCGCACCTGGAAAAGGAGGCACAGAACGATTTCTAAGATTCCTTCCAGCTCTGATTCCGAGATGCACCTGGCCTGTCCCACTATTCCCAGAACAGAACCCTCCCCAACAATAACACAGGCCCTTCCCTCCTGTCCACAGGTAGATGGTCCTTATTTTCTACCAAGAGGCGTCCATCCAGTACCAGGCACCCTACATGGTAACAACAACACCATAACAAAATCCACCATAATCACACTGAGAGTAAACACCACGTGCCAGTGATGGGCTCAGCGAGGCCTCACCTTGGCCCTTGAGTTGGTCCTATTCTTACTCCCCTCATAGAGGAAGGAAACTGCGGCTCGGAGCAGTCACCCACCCAGCAAGGATTCAGACCAGGTCTGCCGGCCCCCGTCCGGCTCTTTCCTCAACATCCCACTGATGGTCACTGTATCTTGAAATGCGCTTGGTGGCTTCAGAAGCACTTGCCTGACTGTCAGGTCACTGATGCTCACGGCAGCCCCCTGAGGAGGGCAGGCGCCTTCTCCCCATCTTACCAAGCGGGGAGGTGACAGCCCAGGTCACCGGGCAGCTTCCCGGGGCCGCCCCTGCCTCCCCTGCCACTCCTGGTGTGACCGTGACCTCTAGCAAGTCACACCAGGCACCCTCAGTTCCTCAACTGTAAAACGGGCAGCGTTACCTGAATGGCTCAGGGTTGGGGGAGCTGAGCTAAAGTGATGGTGGGACCCCGAGGGGGCTGTCCTGAGTGCCGACCCCGAGGCTTCAGGGCACCCACAAGGAAGGCCACTTTACCTTTCATGCCACCGGAGAAGCCCCTCCAGTTGGCAAAGATCATGAGGGGCAACTTCTCCCGGTTGAAATCCTGGATGGCCTGCGCCGTCTTGTAGGCCGAGTCTGGGAACCACACCTGGCCGGCCTGCTGGATTATCTGCAACACAGAGTGGCCTGGGTCCGATTCCGCTGTGCAAGGGCAGCCCCGGAACACGGGACGGCCACACACTTCACCCCGGAGGACAGGCAGTCTGATCTGAGTTGGCACCTAGCCAACAGCTCGTCTGTAACCCTCAGACATGTGACCCTCACGCTGCAGCCCAGGGAGGTTCCCGTTGCCCACTGACAGGCACAAGCTAGAAGAGGCCACTGAGTGGGGTCCGAGGACCTGCCCTCTGACTTCTGAACTCCTCCCAGTATGCGGTGTGGCCCACCCTAGAAACAGCAACAGCGATGGGGGCTGGAGGTGGGAGGGAGTCCTAGGGACCCGTCATCCTCTGAGGAAGACAGTGCAGAGCATTATGCACCCCATAGAGTGTGCTGAAGCCCCCCCAGGGCCAAGGGCTCCCCTGAGTCTCTGAGCGGGAAAGACAGACATGTGACCACCTAGGACCCACTCTTGTCAGCTGAGCCAGCCAACACAGCAGCCCCAGCAAAACTACCGCGAGACGTCACCTCACACCTGTCAGAATGGCTATCATCAAAAAGTCTACAACAACAAATGTTGGTGAGGATGTGGACGAAAGGGAACCGTCGTACGATGCTGGTGGGAATGTTAATTGGTGCAGCTACTCTGGAAAACAGTAAGGACGTTTCTCAAAAAGCTAAAAATAGAACTAGCATACAATCCGGCACTTCTACTCCTGGGTATATATCCAAAGAAAACAAAAACACTAATTTGAAAAGATAGACGCACCCCAGTGTTCATAGCAGCACTATTTACAATAGCCAAGACATGGAAGGAACCCAAGTGCCCACCAACAGATGAATGGATAAAGAAGATGTGGTATATTTATACAATGGAATACTATTCAACCATTAAAAAGAATGAAATTCTGACATTTGCAGCAATGTGGATGGACCTAGAGAATATTATACTTAGTGAAATAAGTCAGAGAGAGAAAGACAAACACAGGATGATATCACTTATATGTAGAATCTAAAAAATAATACAGATGAACATATATGCAAAACAGAAACAGGCTCACAGGTAGAAAACAAACTAGTGGTTACCGAAGGTGAAAGGGAAGGTGGGAGGGGCATATTAGGGGTATGGGATTAAGAGATACAAACTTCAATGTATAAAATAGATAAGCAACAAGGATCTATTGTATAGCACAGGGAACTATAGCCATTATCTTGTAATAACTTTTAATGGAGCATAATCTATAAAAATGCTGAATCACTGTGCTGTACACCTGAAATGAATATGATAATGTAAGTACACTACACTTCAATTAAAAAAAACCAAAACAACATGAAAATAGCAGCCCCAGCTCCCTGGCCCCTAACCTTGGCCTCGGAATCCAGGTTGGCAGGGTCCGCGGGCACAGCCAACTCCACTGTCCGTGTCTCTGCAGCGATCACTCCGACGGGGATCCCCCCCAGCCTGCAAGGTGGAGCACAAGGGAACTGGAGCGCTGGGCAGCAACCCAGGCAGATTCGGGGACCGGTGGGTCCAGCCAGCCCGAGCTGGTATTCTACACGTGATAGTCTACGGGCATAGGGGCTGGGTCCTGGGTGGCCGGGATGAGGGCATACAGAAGACAGTGCTGTTTTCAATCTGGCAGGTTATTCTACCGGAAGGCAAAGCAGCAGCCCCAAAGCAGTGAAAAGCCTCACAAACTAGCAGGCTGGCAAGGTCCTCTGGGTGACCTTGTTGGGGCAACAGCGGTCATGTTTGGGGGGAGGGTCAGGCCAGTGCAGGGACAGGGGCAACACTGTCCACTAGAACTTTCCTTGATGATGGCCACGTTCTCCATCTGCCTGACCAGTGTGGCAGCCGCGAGCTGCACGTGACCACGGAGCATTTGGAATGCGGCAGGGACAGCGGAGGAACTGAATATGTGTCATGCTCTTTCACTGTAACTCAACTGAATTTGAACTGTCACGTGTGGCCAGCAGCTACCACGGTGGACAGCGTGGGTCCAGACACCACGTCACATCTGGAAAAGGGCTGAGGGATGCTGAGCCTGAAGGAGCTTCAGTCATGGGGAGTCCGTGGCATCGGCATCTATCACCGCTTACCACTGGCTGCCCCCAGCCACATGCAGCACTTAATTACTCTCATTTACACTCTCGACAGTTGTATGAGGCAGGTTTGGGGAGAGCAGTCTTCAGATAAAGAGCTTCCTTATGGAGGGAGGAGTAGATTTCATCTCATGTTTAAAAAACATATTAAAAAAAAAAAACACTTATGGAGAAGCAGCTAAGTTCCAATACTAGGGTTAGTATTTTCATAGTAACTGCAGGGAGGTAAATAATAACAACAATAATGACAGTGATGGGAGCTGCTACCACTGTGGAGTGGTTATGATTTTTTAAAAGCTTTTTATTTATTTATTATTTTTAAATTTTTTGGCCGCGTTGTGTGGCATGCGGGATCTTAGTTCCCTGACCAAGGAGCAAACCTGTGCCCCCTGCAGTGGAAGCGTGGAGTCTTAACCACTGGACCGCCAGGGAACTCCTTTTTTCTATTTTAAGTGCCTAACGTATGTTATCTCTTCTAATCATCACAACAATCCTTTGGGGTGGGGGAGGTGTCGAATTATTACCCCCATTTTACAGATGAGGATGTAAAGGCCCAGAGAGGGTGAATGACAGAGCTCAGGTCCAACTCCAAACCTGGACTGGAAGCAACTACATCGTGTCAGGAATCTGAGTGGTAAATTATGAGGATGCTGCTTTGGGCTCCATATAAAGAGGAACTTTTGGGCAGCTGGAGCGATCCAAAAAGATAAGGGCTACGCCACTGAGGAATGAGAGGCTCCGCTTTCAAAGCATTCGAGCATTTAAGCCTTCTGCCAGCTATGGTCTACAACAGGGGTTCCTGCCTGTGGCCCTCCTGAAATGGGAATTCACAGTTCTGACTGTCTGCGCAGTTTCCGGGGGGAGTACCACCTTCTGATTCCCAAAGGGGTCCATGGCCCCCCTGGCTAGGGAGCCCTGCCCCAGGGGCAGACACGAGGGACAAGGGTGCTGGCCCCCAGCAAGAGGTTGGCTGAGATGCCTAAAGCCACAGACAAACCCAGACTTTATGAAGAAGTTCATCACCCAGAAAACCACCCCCCTGCCCCCCACTGGCTTTTCTTTCAGAAAATCCTGGGGCCAGGAAAAAAGGGTCCCTAGGGGCCACCTAGGAGGAAAGAATCCCTGGCTTTGTACCTGGGAGTCCCAATACCTGGGGAGGCCAGGTGTGTGCTGCCTGCCCCATCCTTAGGGTTACCTTGCTCGTCCCGTGACCACGGTCTGGGCCCAGGGCACCATGATTTCCTTGAAACTGCCCTGGTCGAAGAATCCACTCTGCCAGGATCCCTTCAGGGCTGTGGGCAGAAGGGCAGAAGTCCAGGCCAGGGGCTGGGTTGATAAGGGCCCCCCAGCATCCGCCTGGAGGAGCTGACTGCTCTCCCGTCTCTCTAAGGACAGCCTGACCTTGACAGCCCAAATACCTTTTTTCCTGGAAAACTACACAGATACCGACCCTTCCCCCGCCCCCCAACACACAAAACCAGGGCTGCAAAAAATACAGCAAGTCAGGAATTCAGTCCCTATAGAACATCCAACTATATACATCAACTCCTGTCAAGGCCAAAGACAAGGAGACCCTAATCACCGTCTCTGCCTTTTCTTCCCAAGAGGCAAAGAGAGCTGATGGATGCTTTCGGAAGGTAGGATTTCAAGAAGGGACCACCTGCCCCCAAAAACTCATCCCTGACATGGTGGCTGCAGCTTCAAAACCCTTTAACTGGGAAGAAAGTGTTCAATTTGAGAGAGAGACAGAGAGAGAGAGAGAGAGAGAGAGAGAGAGAGAGAGAGAGAGGGAGGGAGAGAGAGAGAGAGAGAATGAATATGATGATGTCAACTGCAGCCATCCCTGGAGAGGACGTGGGGCCAGGAATCCACACCACAGTGTAAATGACTGCAGTTTGGACACGGGGTGCCAGGTAGCACGAGAGATCTCAAGTTGCAGGAGCGGGAGGTTGGGCTTCTGGGAACAAAGCAGCCCAGCCTCAGTGTCTGCCTGGGGGCTGGCCTGACTAGCCGGAGAAAACTGTCAGTAATGTATCAGGCGTTTTTTAAATCAAGATAAAGCCAGTGCTCGCAGGCGAGAGAGCCCAAGAGAAATGGCAGAGGGAGAAGCAGGGCCTGGGGCTTCTTCTGCTGGCAAGGCCTGGCACGCTCCTGGCAGCACGTCCCCTGCCCCACACAGCTGGATGGGGAGGCCAAGTTCTAAAGGGGACAGCGTGTGAAATTCTAGACTCGGGATTGTGGTAACAGGGGCAGCTCAGCTTTCCTGTTCTGGTTGCTCCGAATGTAATCAAATCCTTCCAGGAGGCCTACCTGTCCCTTTCAGAGAGAGAGAGAGAGAGAGAGAGAGAGAGAGAGAGAGAGAAAGAATTGTGTGTGTGAAAGCATGTGGGTGCACACGGGGGTGTTTGAACATGTGTGTGCACATCTAGCCACGTGAATCTGCAAACGTGGGGACAGAAGAGGCTAAGTTGCTGGTCCTGAGTAAACTCATGGAGAATTACCTTATTAGGTTTAGCCAAATAGAAAAAGAAAGAAAGAGAGAGAGAGGGCGAGAGAGAAGCATTCTTCTCTTTGAAACCCTGATGTCACAGCACCAGAGTTTTCACCTATGTTACCACATTTGGGGAAATTTGGGGAGGGAGGCCATGACCTCTGCTACCCTTCACCTCCATCCATCAGCTCCAGAAACCGGAGGCTGTTTCCACCCCTTCTTGGTCAATAGCTCAGGAAAAGCTTAGAGAAAAATCTCCATTCCTCCACCCCCTTTGCATTCGATCTCTGGTGTATCCCTCTGGGATATCTGACCAAGTAACAGTGCTTCTATCGATACGTTCCTTTATCCCAGGTGCAGAAAAGAAGCCCCAAGACCCAGGTCTCAGGCAAAGCCCTTTAGAACTTACTTGGGTGAGGCCTTCCTGCAAGCAACCACCGGGGGTCATAGGGTGAGCGAGATGGCTGGAATTCAATCTCTCTGTCAATGGGGTCAGTGGGTGTGATGATTGGGACAGGGCTGCGATTATCCTAGAAAAGAAAGCCAGGTCTCCAACTCAGTCCTCTGTGCTTGTCAGTAACATCTGCAGCCTGCTCTTTGCCCTCCTCTCCTCCTCTGGTGGTGATGCCTGCTTACGTGACAGAAGCTCAACCCCAAATAGCTCATCATCACATTTATGAGTAGCATTTGGTGAGGGGGGGCTAGTAAGCGCCGAGCTCGACACATCATGTCACTTAACCATCACGATAACACCCTGGGTGGGTGCTATTGTTACTCTCATTTCACAGATGAGGAAACCGAGGCTCAGGAAGATTAAGAGATGGTCCTGAGGCCTCATTACTATGGAGGAGGAAGCCAAGAATCAAATCGAGCCTGACTGCAAAGCTTGAGGATTCTCTGTTGTCCAATGTTACCTCTTTTGATGAGAGGAAATGCCACCTAGTTTTTGTTGTTGTTCGAGAACAGCCTTTTATTCTGTTTGTTCAGGCACCAACCATCGACTATTCCCTTAGAGAATTTACAATGACACGGAAATAGTACAGAGGTGATTTTTTTTGTAAATTATTTCAAAATTATTTTGTAATTATTATTACAAAAATTATTTTTTTGTAAATTTTTTTTTGTAAATAGTATAAACTATTTCCCTGGGTATAAAAAGGATATTTAGCAATTAACTTTCTGAGTTGTGGGATTAACAAACAAAGATTTAAAAATAAATATTAAAGTGGTTGATGTTTGACATTAAAATTAAAAGCACCTTGTGTGTAAAATTCTAGCTGTATTATTCAGGGTAATTAGTTTGCTAGTAACTGTCATACAGGATGGCATGTGCATTTTAGAGGCTTGTTTCCACCCACTTACTGGCTATATTACCTTGGACAAGGTACTGCATTTCTTTAAATCTCAATTTCCTTATCTGTAAAGTGGTAATAATAATAGCAGCTCTCCGATAGGGCTGTTGTGAGGATTTAACAACATCATGAAGATAAAGGGCTTCACATAATGGCTTTAGTAAGTGCTCAGCAAATATTAGTGATGACTCTTAAATCTTGGTCTTGGTGTAGGAGTTGTAAGAACTCTATTTTGTTTTTAAATTCATTAAATACATCATTCCACATTTAACACATGTCCACCCACACTGAAATTGCCACCTCTTTCTAAAGGATTGACAGAGAGCATCCTTACAGTGGCATTTTAAAAAAAGCAAAGAACAGCAAGTACAGGGCTTGGTATCAGAGAGGGAAGGAGGGAGGAGTAAAGAAAAATTAAACCCAGACACATCTTTAGTGCTCCCTGTTTCCCACACCACCTGGCAAATGAACTTGACAACAGAGTCTTCCAGGCTCTTAGCTGCAGGGGGGGATACTGCACCTTTGGCATATAGGACAGCCACTCCAGGATGGTACAAACACCCTCGAAGTCATCCGGCACGGTGACATGGGAGACACCATTGTAATGCATGATCTGCACGCCGCCCAGCTGGTTGTTGGATGTGTAAACCTCTCTGCCCAGGACCTGCTTTGACATGGCAGGGTTAGCAAGGTTCTGCCCGGCCCGGGGCCCTTCCACCTGTTCGGAAGTCATCTCCCTCAGTGGTCCTCAACCCTGGTTGCATGTTAGAATCATCTGGGAGCTTTCAAAAGTCCCGATGCCCCGGCTGTACCCAGACCTATTACATCAGAATCTTTGGTATTTTCTTTTTTAACTTCCAGAAAATTCCAACATGTAGCACAATTTGAGAACCAGTGATCCAGCTGATTACTCTAGTCAACTCCAAAGCAAAACCCTACCTAACATTTCTGATGCAGCAGGTCTGCAGTGTGGCCTGAGAATTTGCATTTTTATGTGATCCCAGGTGATGCTGCCGGTTCAGGGGCCGGACTTTGAGACCCTCAGTGGGGTTTTAGCAGATATTATGTTATGGAGGCTTTACAGCAATGTGAAAAGCATTTTAATACAGGGAAAAATGTCGAATGAAACTGCACTCACTAGGAGTCTAACCATGTTAAGATATAAGACGAGAGGAAAATACACCAAAATTATAGTAGGAGCAAAATTACTTTTTGGGGGGTCTTTTTCCAATTTTCTGCAATGTGTAATGCCATTTTAATAATTTTTAACATTTCAAAAATATTTAAAAATTTAAATTACAGTAATACAGATTTAGTTCCACCAGAAGAGCCTAATATATGTACGTATTTTTTTGGCTCATAAGAGGCCCATATAACTACAAAATGGAAAAACAGCTCTTACATCAGTAGGCATGAAACTGTTTTCATGTTGAGAAAAATCCCCCATCAGGGACACTGGGAAAGTTAAAATGACCCCTCCCCCACACCGCCCCTACATGTCCACTCCCCAGTGGCCCCTTCAAGGTCACCTTGTTGAGAGCCATTGCCCCTGTCAGGATGATGTGGGAATTCTCCACCTGGATCACTCGCTGGCCCAGCCTCACCAGGTAGGCCCCGATCCCAAGGGCTCGGCAGGTCACCTGTGGAGACAGGATCCCTCCTGCATTCCCCAGGGCCACGTGCCCCGCCTCCCACAGTGGGGACAGCCCAGGGACCCGCTGGGCACCAACGGAAGCTAAGCTTGGCCACTGGCAACCTGATTGGAGGCCAAACAGCGTGACACAAGCCTTCCTTCAGGGTGCCTGACCTCGGCCTCCTAACCAGAAAGAATGGGGTTAGCAAAGAAGAGTGTTGTAAAGACAGCGGAAGTGGAATGTTCTGGTTCTTGCTTCAAGAGGCATGTCTGTGGCTCTTCTGAGCTTGGTCACTCCTGAGACATTGCAGCCGTTCACACAACCAAAGGAGGCCTAGAAGGGCGTGTGAAACTGGAAAAATCCGAGCGAGGTCTGTACCGAGTTAACAGTATTGTGTCAACATCAATGTCGATCACGCCCGATGGTTATACTGTCATGGGGGAAGGTGGGTGATGGGTACATAGGACCTGCCTATGCTATCTCGTATCTGGTGTGTCCTAAACTATTTCAAAATAAAAAGACATACACACACAAAAAAATTAAAAAAAAATAAAAATAAAAAGACATACAGGCAGATCTCGTTTTATTGCACTTCACGGATATTGCTTTTTTTTTTTTTTATAACAAACTTAAGGTTTCTGGCAACCCCGTGTGTCAGATGATGGTTAGCATTTTCTAGCAATAAAGGATTTTTTAATTAAGGTGTGTACCTTTAAAAAAGACATTAATGCTATTGCACACTTAATAGACTACAATATAGTGTAAACATAACTTTTACATGGACTGAGAAACCAAAAAATCTGTGTGACGTTTATTGCTATATCCACTTTATTGCAACATTTGCTTTATGGTAGAGTCTGGAACCAAACCTGCAACATCTCTGAGGTGTGCCTGTCTGTATATATATAAATAAAAGATACATATATGTTTATATATTTTTGGAATATATAAAGATATACATATCTTTTTATATCCTTCAAAATAAAAATATTTTGGAATATGTAAATATATGCATAAATCTTTTTATTTTGAAATATATATGAAACATATTTAAATGACATCTAGAAAACAAGCCTAAGGAAGACACTCATGGCCAACATCTTCCACCTTGGAAACTGAAGATACAACACTGAAGGTAAAAATCGTATCTTGAGGGACAGTTTACCATTGAAAAGTACTATTACTACGACTCTACCAGAAACAGAAAATATTTTTGAAAAGGCCAAACTGGGGAGCGGGAAGAGAGTCATTTAGTACCAGTTAAAATTGGACAAAAGTTCTTCTAAATACTCAGTACCTTTTAAATAAGAGGTGATTGGCTCCTGATTCAAACCAACCAACTCTTAACAAGATATTTTTGAGATAACACTTCAAACTGAACCCAAACTGTGTTCTGATGACATTAAAGAATTGCCACTGATACTGTTGGGTGTAACAGTACCGTGGTTATGTTTTTAAAAAATTAATCTAGTCAAGATCCACATTGGGGTACTTACAGATGGAAAGATATAAGTGGAGTTTGCTTTAGAACATTCCAGAACAGGGGGGCAGAGGGACTGGGGACATAGGAATGGTTACACGTTGATAATTGTTGGAGCCGGTGATGAGTACATAGGGCTCATTAGCAATTCTCTTTGCTTTCTTGACTATTTGAAAGTTTCTATAATAAAAAGTTGAGACGGAAAAGAAAATAGGAGGGGACTCACCAAGCTGATGGTGACAATCTCATCATAATCCAGGGAGGTCTCCCCAGCAATCATGCCTGAGCCCCTCAGGTTCTCTACGCCCAGGCCATCCTCCTTCCCAATGATATCCGTGATGACATACCTTCAAGAACCAAATGCGAGTTAAACACTGAGCTCTAGCCCAGAAAAATCCAAGGCTGATGCGTTTCCCAAGAACCCGAGGAAGGAAGGCTAAGCAAGGTGAGGGATTGGAAGGTGATAAAGCAGCCAGAGGTGAGATGAAGGCGGGGGTCTAGGCCCCTGATGACTGGCCCTAAAGTTTCTAGAAGTGCAAGTACAGCATCGATAATCATCACCCCTCCAACCAAAGATAAAGTTTGCCTATTCAGAGGCTGTCCTAATGAAATGTCACCCCACCCTGCATTCCTCCAGAAGCAATCTAGAATAGCCTTTGGTCTACAGAGACATGGGAGTATACAAGGAGAAGCCACGTGGTTCATAATCAATCACTCAGTCAAGATTCCATGGCCATATAAGTACACTGTACAGCCTAACCCATTAGGGATTCACACGGCATTTCAGTGCATTAAATGTTCTGAGAAGGCCTGCGATAAAGATGCTTGTTGGATCTCATTTAACCCAGTGTTTCCCAAACTTACTTGACTACGGAAAATTTTCATTCCTTCCCATCCTCCCAAATCACCAACTAACATTCCAGGAAACTCAGCCTGGGAAATTCTGATTTAAATCAGAATCTGATTTTAAAAACCCACAACCCACAAGCCGGTATCGCCCTTGACGTTCTCACGAAGCAGGCCCTCCCGGCATCTTCCCAGCTCACCAAGTCACCGCTGAGTCAGTCTGGCTAATTTGGTCACAAAATGTGAATCTGCGGCTCTGGGGACACTATGGGAATCCAACCTAATTCTCCTTGCATGATGTGGTATTTTTGCGAAGGGCATGCCTCATTTGGGGATGACAAGGATGGGCTCACCCTAAAGGATGCCCCAGGTGTCTGAGCTATCAGTGCCCCCAGTGGAGCTCGGGGGTCCCATTGTACAAACACTACCACCTGCTTGATATACTGTCACAAGCCCAGAGGAGAAGAGGCAGATTCCCCTGGGAGTAGCTGAAATTAACCACAGGCAAAATGAAGGCGCTGCCTGGTCAGTTATTTACCTGGATTCTCCTTCTTCCTCGACGTGTTTACAATGGACGGAGTTCAGGGAGCTGACTGTGGTGTAGTCTTGGGGAGTCAGGTACAGGTATTTAATTCCCTTAAAAATATATACTTCAGTAAGGTTATGAGTCCAGCTTCCTGCACTCAACAGCCACTGTTTTGTTTTAACGTCAACACTGGTTTGGGTGGGTGGGGGCGGGGGTGTTAATAACACCATGTTACTAACACAGTCACCTGTCTGATGTTAATACCATGTTAATAACAGTAATAAACTGAAGGTCTGCTCTGTGCTTTCCACTGGTCCTTACAATACAACCTCACTTTCTTCCTGGGCTCTCTGATCTAATGCTTTTTAATCATCTTTTCATTCTCTTTCCCCTATGGAGCTTTTTTTTCTTAATGCCAACCCCCCCCCCACCCCCCACCAATAAAATTTTATTGTAGATATATTGTTTATGTGTGTATGTATGTATACATATATGTGTGTGTGTATGCTTTTTACATGAAAAGAATCATTTTTGCCCCCATGGCGGGGGCAATACCACCCCCTTGAGAACTCATGCTCCGGTTGCACAGAATGACTCTGTCCCCTGCATTTTCACATCACAAGATGTGTGGTTTCTCTATTCATTTTGCCTTTTATGGTAGCTGGTGTCTCTAGGTCTCCTGGATGATTTTTAAGAACTTCCTGAGGCCAGGGATTACGTTGTCATTCACATTTGCATCCTCGGTGTGCACTGTGTTCCAAGAGATGCTCAGTATGTATAAACTCTGTGTTTACATAAAAAATAACTTTTTTTCATTATTGTCCCCCTAAGGATCCCATTTAGACCTTTTTTCCTAATCGTCACCCCCTCCCATGAAATTTTACTGCCTGTTTATGTACTTTATGGATATCTATGCTGTCTACACAAAGAGCAAGAAGATTTTGTCCGCCCCCTTGGAGGTGCTGTCACCCGCACAGAAAATACAACATGAGCTTAGCGCAGTCACACTGCCACCCCAGCTTTATGACGTACCTTGTGGGGGTCTTCCCGGTCCACCCAAGCCACCTGGAACATGTGTTTGATCTCCTCTGCAAGGCCGATACGGGCCCCACTGTTGGCAGCGAGGTAGATTTTGGGGATGCCCTCTGCCCGGGCCATCTCGGATGCCCGCAGGTACAGAAGGTCTTCTCCAAGGCCAAAGGATCCTATCCGGAAGGTGATGTCATTGCTGATGAGGATAACGTCGCGCCCTTCTGGGTACTCAAGGGTCTTAAACCTCATTTTGAAGGCCACCATGCCCACCTGGCGAGGACACGAATGCACAAGAAAACGGGCTTGTTTCTTCAGGAGGAACTTATTTATTTTTGGCCGCACTGCACAGCATGCAGGCCCTAAGTACCCCGACCAGGGATTGAACCCATGTCCCCTGCAGTGGAAGTACAGGGTCTTAACCACTGGACGGCCAGGGAAGTCCCCCAGGAGGAAATTGTTTTAAAGGGTGATTCCGGCCAGGGGCTGGGCTCTGTGAGGTTTTTTTTAAAAAATTTTATTGAAGTATAGTTGATTTACAATGTTGTGTTCATTTCTCCCGTACAGCAAAGCGACTCAGTTCTTTACCTCATTTCCTCCAGGAAGTCGGTTCATCTCCACCAGCTGGCCCTGCGGGTCCAGCACTAGTTCGGTGTATGTCAGGATGTCTTTGGGGTACTTGTCCGGGGAACCCCACATTTTAAAAAGAGCCTACATAGAGGACAGGAAAGAGAAAAACCTGAAGTCATCAGTAAGGAAGTACATTTTCTACTCCTTTCTCTCTCTTTCAATCACGAACTATTTAAAGCATACATGCAGAAAAATAAATACCCAAGCATCTATCTCATGGCTCTGTCAAATCAGAATTTTTCCATAGTAGCTTAAGATTTTTTTAAAGAAATAAGAAAAATGCAGTTGAAGTCCCTGGTGTACCCCTCCCCATCCCATTCCCATCCCTCCTCCCCGCTGCTCCCCTCAGGTAACTATTATCCTGAATTACTGTCCATCAGTCCTCTGTATGCTTTTACATTTTTATTTCATCATATGTGCAGACATTTAAAACATAGCATTGGGCTTCCCTGGTGGCACAGTGGTTGGGAATCCGCCTGCCAAAGCAGGGGACACGGGTTCAAGCCCTGGTCCGGGAAGATCCCACATGCCGCGGAGCACCTAAGCCCGTGTGCCATAACTACTGAGCCTGTGCTCTAGAGCCTGTGCACCACAACTACTGAAGCCCGCCTGCCTAGAACCCAGGCTCCGCAACAAGAGAAGCCACCGCAGTGAGAAGCCCACGCACCACAACAAAAAGTAGCCCCCGCTTGCCACACTAGAGAAAGCCCGCACACAGCAACAAAGACCCGACGCGGCCAAAAACAATAAATAAATAAAAATAAAACCCCCCAAAAAACATAGCATTATTTTGCATGACTTATACTTTAAATAATGGTATTGCACTGGACACGTTCTTCCACAACTTATTTTTCCAGTTCTCCAATATATTTGAGAGATTTATCCATATTGATAAATTTAGCTCTGGTTTATTCATTTTCCCTGCTGTTCAGTTTTCCATGATATGAACATATCACAATTTATTTATTCATAACCCTTTTTAGGAACATTTAGGTGTCCAATTCTACACCAACAATGCTGTAATCAACATTTTTATGGTCTTTTTTTTTTTTTTTTTTAATAAACACGGATGAGTGTTTCAATGGGTGTATACCTAGGAATGAAATTGCTGGGTCATAGGGTATGTGAAAATTCAGATTTACTGGATATTGTCAAATTGTTTTACAGTTCTAGTAAGAATGTGTAAGAGCTCCTTTGCTCCATATACTTGTCCACACTTGGCTTTGGCAAATATTTTAATGTTTACCCATCTGCTGGGTGTGAAACTGTACTGTGATTTTTTTTTTTTTTGTACTGTGATATTGGTTGGTACTTCACTGATTATCAGTGAGGTGAGCACCTTAGAATATATTGATTGATCTTGTAAGTTTCTCTTTTTTTTTTGGTCAATTTCCTATTTATAACTCTTGCCCATATTTTTTATAGTTTTGCTTTTTTTTTTTTTCCAACTGATTTATAAATGCTCTGTAGATAATATTGCTCTAATCCCTTGCTGGAAACAGATATTTAAACATATTCTCCCAATCTGGGGTTTGTCTTTTCTCTTCTACATAAATAACTTTTAAATTTTAACATAGTCACATTTATGAGGGTTTCCTATGCTTATGCTTTCAACTCACTCCGAGCAGTTTTAATCCTCTCGAAATTTATTTCTGTACACCAGATGAGGTAGAAATCGAAAAAATTTTTTCCCAATTAGATAAGAAATTTCTTTGTACCTTTTAGTGAAATTTATTCCCTTGATTCAGAATCCCACCTCTGCATTCAATCAAGGTTCTGTCTGTGAGTGGGTCTGACTCTAGACTCTATTCTGTTCCATTGGTCTATTTGTTTAGCTCTGTTACAATAATATTACACACTGTAGTACGTACTACTGCTTGAAAGTAAATAATGACTTTTTTTTTTTAATTTTTTTTTTTTTTTTTGTGGTACGTGGCCCTCTCACTGTTGTGGCCTCTCCTGTTGTGGAGCACAGGCTCCGGACGTGCAGGCTCAGCGGCCATGGCTCACGGGCCTAGCTGCTCCACGGCATGTGGGATCTTCCTGGACCGGGGCACGAACCCGCGTCCCCTGCATCGGCAGGCGGACTCTCAACCACTGCGCCACCAGGGAAGCCCAAATAATGACTTATTTTAAAGGATGGCTAAGACAAGTCCTCCTGATTTTGTTCTTTTTCAGAAGTGTTTTTGCTATTCATGAACTTTTGCTTTCCCTATGAGTTTTTAAGTTGCACCAAAACTCCAGAATTATACTGAATGTATTAATTTGGGGGGAACTATTATCTTTACAATATTGAATCTTCCTATCATACATAAGCATGATATATCTCTCTATTTAGGCTTAAAGTATTTCCGTAAAGTTTCAAAATTTCCTCCATAAAGGTCTTGTATGTTTTTTGTTTGATTTATCCCTAAACTTGGAGCTGATCTTAATATTGTAAATGGCATTTTTTCCAATTAGATTTTACAATTATTGCTGGTCTATGAGAGTACAATTAAGTTTTGTATATTGCTCTTGTATCTAGCGATCTTGCTGTATTATCTAATTGGTTCCATAAATTCTCTTTGATTTCCTGTATAGGCATTTATATCATCTATGAAAAACGTAACTTTGCTTCCTTCTTTCTAGTCTTTATACCTTTTATTTCTTTTTCTCATATTTTTGCATTGGCCAAGAACTCTAGTAAAAAAAGTTGAATAGAAGGGGTGTTAATGGATATTTCTATCTGTACCTATCTTTGAAGCGAATACTTCTAACATTTCACCATTAGGTGCTATTAATTTTAGGTGGATGTCTTTTATCAAAATAAACAAATTTGAGGCTTCCCTGGTGGCACAGTGGTTAAGAATCCCCCTGCCAATGCTGGGGACACGGGTTTGAGCCCTGGTCCGGGAAGATCCCACATGCTGCGGAGCAACTAAGCCTATGCGTCATAACTACTGAGGGTGTGCTCTACAGCCCGTGAGCCACAACTACTGAGCCTGCGTGCCACAACTACTGAAGCCCATGTGCCTACAACCCATGCTCTGCAACAAGAGAAGCCACCACAACGAGAAGCCTGCACACCACAACGAAGAGTAGCCCCTGCTTGCTGCAACTAGAGAAAGCCCGCGTGCAGCAACGAAGACCTGATGCAGCCAGAAATAAATTAAAAAAAAAGTCCCCTTCTAGTCCTAGTTTATTAAAAGCTTTTATTATAAATAGATATTATCTTTTCAAATACATTTTTTGCACCTATTGAGAAATTTAAGTTCGTTCTTAATCTATTAACATGGTAAACTATAGACTTCCTAATACCAGACAAGCTGTCACAAGATAAATACTACTTAGTCTAAATTTTTTTTAAACAATCATTACTAGGTTTCATTTGCTAATATTTTAATTATGATTCGTGTTCGTGTTCATAAATGAGACAATAAACTTCCTTTCTCCTAATGTTCTTACCTTGGATTAATATTAAAGTAATAATAACCTGATAAAATGAGTTAAGAAGCATTCCCTTTGTTTTTTCTATTCTCTAAACAGTTTGTATACAAAGGGAATTATCTGTCCCTTGAAGGTTTGACAACAATTGTTGTAAAACTGTCTAGGACCAATTTTAGTAGATGGGTGTTTCTGACCTACGAATTCAATTTCATTAATGCTTTTTTCCAAATTTATTTATTTATTTATTTATGGCTGCTTTGGGTCTTCGTTGCGCGTGGGCTTTCTCTAGTTGCAGCGAGCGGGGGCTACTCTTTGTTGCTGTGCACGGGCTTCTCATTGCTGTGGCTTTTCTCGTTGCGGAGCATGGGCTCTAGGCACGCGGGCTTCAGTAGTTGTGGCTTGAGGGCTCTAGAGCGCAGGCTCAGTAGTTGTGGCGCACGGGCTTAGTTGCTCCGCGGCATGTGCGATCTTCCCGGACCAGGACTCGAATCCGTGTCCCCTGCATTGGCAGGTGGATTCTTAACCACTGTGCCACCAGGGAAGTCCCTGGCTGGGCCCAATTTTAGTAGATGGATGTTTTTGAACTATTAATTCAATTTCATTAATGCTTATAATCTATTTACATTTTCTATTTCTTCTTGAGTCAGTTTTGATAAGATATATTTTTCTCAGAAATTTTCATCTGTTTTCAAATTTATGTGTTGTCCACCATACTCTGTTTCTTTACCTAAAAGAAAGTGGATGGATTTATTCCTGATTTGTCTGTTTCTTATTCTTATGGCCTGTGACTTCTGAGGCAAAAGGATACAGACAATGACATTCTTAATTATAAAAGTTTCCATTCTACTGAATACTTTATATATATTTCTTACCACAACCTGGGGAAGTAGGTAATATTATTAGCCTCATTTTACAGAGGAGGAAAGTGAGGCCCAGAGAGGTGAAGGAACTTGCCCAGGGACACACAGGAAGCAAAGGACAGATTTGGAACTCAGGCCCAGGCCTTACTGACCCTAAACGGCAGCTTTTCCTACTATCCTGCATCTCCTATGCCTAAAGTACCCTGATGATTTCCTGTGGACAGTAGAAGTCCACGATCTCAGTTTCATGAACGTCATTCACAAGGCAATGGAGAAGATGTACACAGGCACCCAATATCACCAATGCCACTGTGCTCAGTCTCCTTGAAAGGCCCTTCTACGTAAAAAAAATAAAGGCATAGAAAGCATACTTGAAGGAAATACACTAAAATGGTATTGCAGTCCTCAATGGCAGACAAGTGATTACCTATGAGTGAAATTTTATTTGCTTATTCCTATTTTTCTGTATCCAGTGTATATTTAATAATCATAAAAACATAAAACATTATTTTTTTAAGTAAACCGAAAAGTCCTCAAAGGCAGTGACCCCATCCTCTTCCTCATGGTCTATCTACCCTTAGAATGGTTCCTGGCATGTAGCCAGCACTTAATATAAGCACTAAAAAGACCAGAAGGAAGTGGTAAACAATTTGTCTTTAGTACGTGGAACAAGGAGTCACTTTTTCCTTCTTTCCATTCTCCTTTACCTTCCAAAGTTTCTATATTATATTCCTTTTTATCACTGGGATGAAATTAGGTTTGTTTTAGAAAAATATACTATGAAGTCATTCTCAATATTAGCTTCTTTTCCTTCACGAATACTGTGTTCTTTAGAGTGGGGTCTTCAGAAGAGTAACTAAGGGGAATTCCCTGGTGCCCTGGTGGTTGAGACTTGGTGCTTTCACTGCCGTGGGCCCAGGTTCAATCCCTGGTCAGGGAACTAAGATCCCACAAGCCGCACAGTGTGGCCAAAAAAAAAAAAAAGAGTAACTAAGGATGGGGGGTGTGGATGCCAGTGGAGTCCCTAAGGGGACCCTGGGCAGTGCTGAGTCTCAGCCTCAGGACTTGCCTGCCTGAACATTTCCGGGAAGTCATACACATAGGTGGTACCCAGGGACTGGGCCTGGAATCGCTTAGCCTGGAGCAGATCCTTGGTGACGTAGGGAGTATTGATCAGCATCCCGTGCTGGGGCCCTTGTTTGTTGCCGAAGGAGTGAAACATGATCTGGACCAGAAAGAAAGAAAAACAGAGAGTGAGGAGGGCAAGTCTCAGAGAACCACACTCCTGCCCAATTTATTTCCTCCCAGTCCTCAGTGAAAATGCAACGAGGGAATACTACTCAGCCGGAACAAAGAATGAAATAATGCCATTTGCAGCAACATGGATGGACCTAGGGATTATCATGCTAAGCGAAGTAAGTCAGAAAGAGAAAGACAGATACCATATAATATCACTTATATGTGGAATCTAACATATGACACAAAGGAACTCTTATGAAACAGAAACAGACTCACAGGCATAGAGAATAGACTGGTGGTTGTGAAGGGGGAGGGTGTGTGGGAGAGGGACGGACTGGGAGTTTGGGGTTAGTAGGTGCAAGCTATTATATATAGAATGGATAAACAACAAGGTCCTAGTGTACAGCACAGGGAACTATATTCAGTATTCTGTGATAAACCATAATGAAATAGAATATTAAAAAAATAATGTGTATATATATGTATAACTGAATCACTCTGCTGTATAGCAGAAATTAACACAACATTGTAAATCAACTACAATAATGAGGGGAAGCATAGCACATATCACATAACAAAGTGAGTGCCCGGGAGAATAATCTCTTCTCTGCCACTGTGGGAAACAGATGTGGAGACACAGCTCCAAAACTGTAATTATCATACTACTAACACACACACACACACACACACACACACACACACACACACACACACACACACACCCAAACAAACCAGAGTGCATGTAAAAATTGGTGAAACCCAAATAAGGTCTGCATTTGAGTTAATAGACTTGTCAAGACAGGAAGTGGACCAGTGTCAACTTCCCGTCTTGACAATGTCTCTGGTTAAAAAAGATGCTATCATTGGGGAAAGCTGGGTGAAGGGTACATGAGTATTCTCTGTCCTAAATTTTCTCCTCTGTGCTATTTTTGCAACTTTTTGAGAGTCTTTAAGTGTTTCAAAATAAAACGATTATATACATATACATGTAATCCACTACATGTATATATAGTAGACAATAGGAAATTTGATTCATTTTACAAAAGTCTATTCCAAAACACGGTTGGGGAAAATAACATTTCCCTAACTGAACTAACTTGGGAACTGTATTATAATAAGCCGTAATACTCCACATCTTATCCCAAACATGGTTCTAGACTGGATTAAACTTTGGATTCAATCTCCTTCCCAGAGGAATGAACAACTGGGATTCAGAAGCTAACACGTTTATCATAAAACTCAGAGGAGCAGCCCCAGTCTGACACAGCAAAGCTTCCAAGTGCCATTTTAATCTACGTCTTGCTCTCCGGGCAGCCTGCCTCCACTTTGACTTGACCTCTGTGAGCCAGCCCGGCCTTACGTTTCCAGATCTGGGGTCGGTCACTTCTTTGTAGAGGCTGATGTCCAGGTAGTAGCCTGACTCGTTGGTGATGAACAGGCGGATGGGAACGGCGCGGTCGGTGGTGGTCTGGCGGATGTTGATCTTGACCTCAGCCTGGAGCACGCGGAGTTTCCACAACCGGCTGCCGTAGCGCATCACCATGGACCGCACTGACTCCTCAATCTGCAGCATACCACAGCAATTCAATTTCAGGACCCATTCCGCGCACACTCGTAATAGTTCTAGCTCTGATTATAACAGAAAGATGAGATATACTGAATGCAAAATGCACTGCATGTATATAGCAGAGCAATACGTAGCATGTATCCATTAACTCTAAGCTGATAATAATCAAAGGTATCATGCTAAGCATTTAAGCTCATTATCTCACTCTGTCCCCATAATTACTCAGAGAGGCTGGTATTTTTGTCCCCCACTGACAGATGTGGAAACTGAGGCTGGTAAGAGCTAGTGCCCCTATGTTACCCTGTCTTTCTCTCCATCATGCATCCCAAGTCTATGCATTTTCTTCTTCAAGGAACTATGTGAACTGGTGGAGTTGGGGAATCAGCATGGGCCTCTGCACCCCACACATGCCAAGCTGATGGACTAGAACTTCTTTCATCCAGAATCACCACCACAGACTCTGCCTGCTCGTGAAGAACCAGCCAATGGAGAATGGCTGAGCCACAGACCTCAGGTTCTCACCCCCCTTCCCCCACCCACATGCAGCCCCCAACAGAGCCTGGAACTCGGGAGAGGACAAAATTTTGTTTTGTAAAGGACATTTTGGGCATCTGTGTCTTCCAAAACGTGAAGCGTGCCCACGGAGGGGGAACATCCTTAGGGACAGTCCTAAGGGTGGTGGCTGAAAAACGGCTCTACAATTAATCAATGGAAGGTTTGTTCTCCACCTGCAGCAAGTGAGGCTCAGACATGCACATACGCATCCTGGAGCTCAGGTCTCGAGCACCAGGAGACGATACCCTGAAGCAGGAAGGTCCCAGTGAAGGTGAACCTGGAGCCTGGTAGAGCCCCACCCCCAGAGGTGAGACCTTAGAGGGGTCCATGATGACGGTGGGCACGAAGTTGAGGAAGATGTGGTTGCAGTCGGTGCGCACGCTGGTGTTGTTGAACGCCACCTCCAGCTCGTCCATGGCCTCCAGAAGCAGCCGCTCGCCTTCGTTCTGCAGGTACTCGAAGGAGGCTTCCTGTCAAAGGGGGAGAGGGGCAGCCGCTAGGCCAGGGGCGCAGGGCCCAGAGAGTCAAAGGGAAAGGAGAGCATCCCCCTCCTCCAAAAGGCGTGCCAGGTCAGACAGCAGAGCCCTGCCTCCAGAGGTAACGGGATGTCCAAGGCTGTCTCGTGTATTCATCACCTCTGTTATTTTCTGTATTCTGATGCTTTGACAGCTGGGCCTTGCTGACCCTGGAGGGACTGCCCCTCCCAGGTTAGCCAATTCCTAGAGTTTGTAAACAACTCAGCCATGAGCATGCGTTTCAGGCAAACCAACCAATCCAGACCCCACACCCCAACGACCTCCTTGTCAGGCTCTCACCCTCCAGGCCACTATCCACTGGCCCTAATCACCCCAGGGCCAGGTATCAGACAACTAGAGACAGTCCCTACGCTCACAGCCTGCTGAAATTACTCAAGCTAGCCAGTCCCAAGCCTGCTCACCCTGCCTCACCCATTCCTTCCTGCAGAATCCACAATAAAGGCTCCTGTCCATGTATCCCCCCTCCCTCTGCCTCCTGAGCAGCCCTGGTGCTTCCCCATGTGGCCCCCACGGCTCAGCACGCCCCCTCCTCTTGGAATCTGTGATAACAAATAAACCATCTTTTCGATCATAACTGTCTCCTGATCTGTCGGCCTTACCGTACCTGGATAATCATAAAAGCTATTAAAATATCTAGGTGACAGAGGCAGCAAAATACTGATTAGCTTAACATCCGTCACTAGGGGATGTGTTAAAAAACATTACACACACAAGATATACATCCATGCAAGGGAATTGCATGAAGGAAATCATCTTCATTAACATGGAAAGAGGTCTACAGTGAAAAAAAAAAAAAAAAAGCCTTTAAATGATTTGTCCAGCCTGAGCTCCTATCTGTAACATTACACCTACAACCCAATCCCAATACATATATGGAATTAGGCCTAGAAAGGGTCACCAACAGGGCTGACCCCTGAATGGCAGGATTCTGGTCCTTTTCCTTAATTTAAAAAAATATTTTCAGTACTTTTTGCAATCTTCACAATATAATCATGAATTACTTTTCTAAATGCAAGAAACAATGGGACATGATCACTCACGCAATGAGCAAGTACAAAAAAAATCCCCTTAACAAATCAGGATATTTCTTTTCTATCCTCCCAATTCTCTCCTCACGCAGAGAGATCTCTGTGACAGAAGGAAGAATCCACATGACTTCCCATGAAAACAGACCACTTCATTTTCCACCTCCCACTCCGTCCCCAGACTGGAGTGTCAGTCACAAGGGCAGGGCTGTGTGTGCCCTGTGCACCCTGAGATCCCCAGAGTGCAGCCCAGGGCCTGACCCAGAGCAGGAACTCAATGAAGGCAAGGGCAGCACGTGAGTGACAAGTTCAGGGGGAGAAAGAAACACCCCGTGACATCCTACCTTGGTGATCAGGTCCGAATGCCTGATGATGACGCGGATGAAGAACCTGTGGTCCGTGACCTCTGCGCCCTCTTTCACTCTGGCAGCGCCCAGGTACAAATGCATCTTGTGGTTGGCGCAGGGCATGGCAGTTATGTCAAAGTTACGCAACCGGCTGAGCTCCAGCTGGAAGGCCAGGGCCGGCTCCAAGTGACGGTAAATGCGATCTTCTGCAAACTGTGGGCCGACCAGAGAGAGAAAACAGATGGACACACAGACACAGGTGGCGTTGGACAGTGGGGCTGCGTGCCTGCTTGATCCATGCCCTGTCCTGCAGATCCCTGGTGTTTGCGGGTTTAGAACTCAGGAATGGAGCATTCATGATGTCCTCTAATTGGGAGCTCGAGAGATTTGGGACTTTGCGATGGTGCAGAGGAGAGCCACAAGCATGGAACCCTGTGCTGGCATAAGCCTCTTGGCCCCAGGGGAGCCAGCTAGTCCCCAGCACCTGCTGGCACCACCAGGCTGTTCTCTATCTGCCACCCCACAGAGTATTTCTCAAGAAGTCACTAAGCCTTAGCTTCCTTAGGTCCTCAGAAGGAGGTGACTGACAGTGCTGGAGACTGGAGAGAAAATGAAGAAGCTGAAGAAAGGATGCGTCTTAACTAGGAAAGTAAGGCTTTGGATAAATTAAAATACTGTTTAGTGGAGACTGGATTTGTGCTGGGAACAAGCCCACCTGTTCTAGAATAAGGACGAGCAAACTTTTTCTTAAAAGGCCAGAGGACTGATGGAGTATACGGTCGGTCACAACCGCAGTCCACCTTCCGAATGCGCGGGTTCTGCATCCGCGGACACAACCAACTGCGGAGATTCCATCCATGGTTGGGTGAATCCACGAATGTGGAATCCGTGAACACGGAGGGCCAACTGTACTCGATTCAGCTGCTGGAGCGAGAAAGCTACAGGAGACAGTAAGTGATTAATGGGTGTGGCCTCCGTCCCCATCAAACTTTGGTTATAAAAACAGGGGGCTGGCCTGCAAGCCATAGTTTGCCAACCACTGTTCTGGAAGAACATAAGAAAAAGAGGTTGGCCAAATGTCCATTGACAGATGAATGGATAAAGAAGGTGTGGCACATATATACAATAGAATATTACTCAGCCATAAAAAGGAACGAAATTGAGTTATCTATAGTGAGGTGGATGGACCTAGAGTCTGTCATACAGACTGAAGTAAGTCAGAAAGAGAAAAACAAATACCATATGCTAACGCATATATATGGAATCTAAAAAAACGGTACTGATGAACATAGTGGCAGGGCAGGAATAAAGACGCAGACGTAGAGAATGGACGTGAGGACACGGGGAGGGGGAAGGGTAAGCTGGGATGAAGTGAGAGAGTGGCATTGACATATATACACTACCAAGTGTAAAATACATAGTTAGTGGGAAGCAGCCGCATAGCACAGGGAGATCAGCTTGGTGCTCTGTGACCACCTAGAGGGGTGGGATAGGGATGGTGGGAGGCAGGCTCAAGAGGGAGGGCATATGGGGATATATGTATACGTATGGCTGATTCATTTTGTTGTACAGTAGAAACTAACATAACATTGTAAACAATTATACTCCAATAAAGATATTAAAAAAAAAAAAGAAAAGAAAAAGAGGTTGGGAGAACCGTCTTACAGAGTTACACCGGCAAGTACAGAAAGTATCCAGGTGAGACAGAAACCTGTAGTGAAGGCTGAAAGGGAGGGAAACGTGGGGTCTGGGCTCCACAGAGCAACATGGGGCTCTCACTGGAAATACCAGCCCAGAGGAAGGCTGGAATCTACACAAAAGTTGCATGTTCTAGAATATGGGGACACCACAAGGACTAAGAACTATATTCTTGCTGAATAGCAAATAACCCAGGGAAGCCAGAACCAGTTCATTGCTCTTCACCATACCTCGTCTCTTGCTCTGAATGTGAAAAACTTGGGAAATTCTTTCTGCAAAAAGAAATCCATATGAAAGGCAAATCAAGCAAGACTCCTTTAAATATTTATAGACCTGTTCTGTGATTTTTAACCCTAACCCAGTCCACTTTTAGAATGAATAGTTTGGAAAGCCATCTCTTCTCTAGGGACTGATTTTTTCCACCCCAATCTACAGAGTAAACATCAAACAAATGGCACCCGGTCTTGAAGAATGCGAAAAACTCAGATGCGCTGAGAATCGGACTGACCTCTTGGGCAATCAGGAACGTAATTCTCCGGAGTCCATACTCCACAAGGATGTTTTTCTGCATTAAAAACCAAAAACACAGTGGGACCATATTTGGCCACAAAAAGGAATGATATCTGTTACCACCCGGATCAACCTTGAAAGCATGCCGAGTGAAAGAGGCCCGTCCCCAAAGACCTCATAGTGTATGAAATTCCATTTACCCCATTGATAGGAAATACCCAGAACAGGCCAATCTATAGAGACAGAAAGTAGATTAGTGGTTGCCTAGGGCAGGGGAAAGGGTTTTGGGTGGAGGGAACGTGGGGTGACTGCTAATGGGCATCTTGGTGGGAGCGGTGAAAATGTTCTAAAACATAATGATCATAATGATGGCTACACAACTCTATGAATACACAGTAGTCCCTGCTTATCCATGAGCTGTACGTTCCAAAATCCCCAGTGGATGCCTGGAACCACGGACAGTACCAAACCCTATACATACGATGTTTTTTCCTATATATACATACTTATGATAAAGTTTAATTTATAGATGACGCACCGTAAGAGATTAACAATAATTATAACAAAATAGAACAATTATAGCCATATGCTGTAATAAAAGTTATGTGAATGTGGGCTCTCAAGATGTTTTCCTGTACAAATTTAATGCCTTTTCCGTCTTAACTAGGCACTTATCACTCACTGTGGCCGTAATGTTTGCAATTTAGGGTGTGACAGCAAAACTAGCACGCATTTCTTTTCTCCTCCTTCACAATTTCATGGATAGAAGACTTGGTTTTACCATAGATCTTAGCAACTCAGCATACATTTTTTTTCCTTCCTTATTAAGTCAAGAATTTTCACCTTTTCATTTAAAGGAAGCACTTGACAGCTTCTCTTCGGCATGTCCGAGTTGCCAGCATCACTTGTGCTTTGGGGGCATAATTAAGTAAGATAAGGGTGACTTAACATGAGTACTGCAATACCATGACCGTTGATGGGATAACCGAGCTGACTACTAAGTGACTAACGGGCGGCTACGCTTGGACAGAGGGATGATTCACATCCGGGCAGGACGGAGCAGGATGGCACACAACTTAAAACTTACAAATTGCTTAAATTTAAAAATTTCTGGAATTTTCCATTTAAGACTGCGGTGGACTGTGGGAAACTGAGACTGCAGAAAACAAAACTGCAGAAAAGGGGACTACTGTACTGATAAGCACTGAATTGTACACTTTAAATGGGGGAATGGTGTGCTAAGTGAATTATATTCAGTAAAGCTATTAATATATACATACGTATTACATATATATATATATATCTTAACATTTCATGAACTCTTTAATGAAATTGGTGGGATGGGGCACTGCTGTATTTAAAAAAAAAAAGACGACAAGCTGAATAAAAAAGACTGACACAAAAAAGTACAAACCATATGCTTTAGTTTATACAAAACTCTAAAATAGACAAAACTAATCTCTACTATTAGAAGTCAGGCTACTGGCTGGTTATCTCTGGCGGGGGAGACGTAGTGATGGGAAGAGGCTCAAGAAGGGGCCAGAGCAGTCATTTCTTGATCTGAATGTTGGTCACACTTGGGAATTCCCTGTGCAAATTCACCAGGCTGTACATTAATGATTTGTGCACTGCTGTGTATATTCGACTTCAGTCAAAAATTACCCAAGGAAAGTACTAAACTGTTTTTAGTTGCTCCCTAAACGAAATAAATACTATTCTGTATAGTTCTCTGGGGAAAGGAAAAAAACCCAGAAGACCAGAAAACAAGGATATTTTAAAATTTCTCCATGTGATAAGGAAAATTACTAGGAGAAATGAAGAGTCTTAGCCCATTTCAGAAAGAGGTAAGGCACTTAACAGAATGCAGGTTGCAAAGAAAACGGGATAAATTGGAAAATGAAGAGGATTCTACTGGGAGCCTGATTACTCTTCTCAATTAAAGGTGTGCGTGAATGTACAGGTGTGCGTGAATGTACAGGTGTGTGTATGTGTCTGCGAATGTGTACGTATGTATCTTCTTAGTGCAAAAGTTTTTAAATAATATAGAAATATGTAACATTAAAATGTCTCCCACTCTCCTGGTAGGTGTACATTCTGCTAACTTTCCTCTCTTTGGTATGCTGTATATAAACACTTATTTGTACAGAGACACATACGTTTAATCTTTTCTAGTTCATGCATATCCTCCTGGGTTGGTATGTAGAGAACTGTCTCCTTCCCACACACAGCCACGTTGCCCCCCATAGCACGGCTGTTCACAGGTGATTCTGACACCCCTCCACTGCCCCCTCGGGGGAAGAACCACCAAGTATCTTGAGCATCATCTGATTTGGTTAGGGGGCAGGCAAACTGCCAACAGCTCAAACGTTGCCTTATCTAAGCCATGGGATGCCAAGCTCAAAGTCCAGTAAGGACATCAGCTATGTTAAGAAACAGGCTAGAGGGAAATATACCACAGTCACTGCCCTGGATGGTGGGGCAAGCTCTTCAGATCCGTCTGCCCCTTCAACATTTTCTACAATGTACGTCATTACACTGTTGATTAATCAATCACACAAGGCTAAGTACATCACTAACAACAATGTCCCTAAGCTTTCATGGCATCATCTGTGCATTATTCACCCAACACCTCCTGCCTAGGAAGCACCAGGCCAGGTCCTCTGAGGGACACCAAGTCAGAGGAGGTAAGAAGCGTCCCTCCCACCAGAATAACATGGGGGATACAACACATGTACAGATGAACACACTAAAAAGCGACAGCCAAAAATTTCCAAGTGTTCTTAAAGTTGAGACCAAGTCAAGAGGGTAAAGAACTAGCAGCTATACAGTGTGCCTGGCAGATGTGATTAATTTATGAGCTTAAGTATCCCTTTTTACAGATGGGAAAACTTAAGGATCAGAGAGATAAAGTAACCTGCTGGAGGTCACACAGCACCTGCCCCGTAATTCTACTACCTACACTTGCCAAGCTGCTCCACATCTGTCTGCAGCTGGGGTCATTAAGCATATGTAACAGCTGTCCCTACTGCTGGGTAAGAATCTATGCCGGCAATGGACACCACATGTTTACCAAACCAACCCACAGTTATATGCGTACATGGTTGTTTATGTAAGTGACTTGGGCACATGGACACCTCACCAAGAGAGCCCTTCCTCCTTCTCCAGGGACCCAGAACCAGAGGCTGCCCAGCATACCTTGGACTGAACGAATGTCCGGAAAACAGGCACCAGCTGCTCGTCCTCCAGGTAGTCTGCGTACTGGATGGCCACGTTCAGGATGTGGATCGGCTCTTCTCGGAGGCTCTGGGAGAGAAAACCAAGGGTAGGCAGTAGAAGGGCCCAGGGCCCCAGCCCGCCCCCTCCTCCGCTTGCTCCCTGCTCAGACACTCACCTTGCTGTCATCCTCGGAGTACAGGGAAGTACGGGCCTTGCTGAAGAGAGGAACGTCCTTAGGCACGTTGGCAAAGCAGGAAATGACCTCATCAAAGTTCCTGGGGGCACGGGGCAGAGAGGGAGGGCTGAGGGGCCGCTGCCCCACAAGGCAATAGGTCAGGCCTGACCCTCACTCTTTCCCAACCACCACTCTGCAAGCACATCCAAGTCTGTGCAGAATTCCTGTGGTTCCTGACTAGGTCCAAGGCACCATCGATGGGGTCTTTCCCAAAAGGGAAGGATGAACCTATGTGATTTGAGATGCTGAATAAAAGAAATGATTCCCAACACTTTGCGGGCATGGCTGGGGTCCCCCTTTTACTGGCCGGTAGACCCTTGCAACCTCATCTCACTCCTCTGAGTCAACTGAGGATAACAAAAGTAACCATTACACCTCCCAAGGCTGCTGCAAACACAGATAGTCCAAGCACGATGCATAACATACAGGACCAAGTTGAAAAAAGGGCAACGATGCTGACATTTCTGAGCACGTTATTTACATATTAACTATAGTTTAAATACAATATTTTATATGTATTATCTCATTTAATTTTCCTTGTGACCCTACGAAGTAAGTCCTTCTCTTATGCCCATTATACAGATGAGAAAACGAAGGTACAGAGAGAAATCATTTGTTCAGAGTCTTATAGTCAGGAAGCAGTGCAGAGCCAGAATTCAAGAGCAGGAGGTGCTGACACAAAAGCCCACGCTTTTGATGATATTATTATTCTGTTATTATTAACTCGCTGTGCCATGTGTCTGGGCCAACCCCCACCTGTGTGTGCAATGAATGGGTGGGGGTCAGGGGAAGCTCACTCAACCCCTGTGCATGGGGTGTTCTGGGGAGACTGAGCCACACTGGGTACCTGGTGAAATCCTCGAATCTCTGGAAGGCAACCATGGCCCCCATCCGCTGGGACTTGGGGGAGAAGCCACTGTCCATGAAGAGCTCCGTGCTGTGCCTCAGCAGTTCAGGGTTGGTGATGCTGATGGGTACGGCCATCCTGCAGAGGAGTGGGAAGGAGGGGGTGAGGCAGCCACCGGTGGATCTAGCCCCAAGAGCTGTTCCTGCCCTGGAAGCTTCGGTGAGCCAGCGCCACATTAGAGCCTTCTGGAAGAGGGGGGCTTAGAATCGGGGTGGAAGGGACGGGGTAGAGCGACAGGGGCTGGGGAGTCTCATCTGATTCCTCAGGACCTGGTATAGAGCAAGAGCTCCACACGTGAATGAATAAATGAATGAACGGTACGTGCATGCAGGCAAGTCCAATTCCAACATGGTCGCCTGATAAATCCACAGTAGTGAACTCAGCCCAGAGTAAGAATGCACTCAGCGCCAATTCCTCCTGGAGAGCCCCAGCCCCCGGAGGCTGGTGAAGGGCCAGCCTTGGTTCTGAAAGACATTCCAGGCCTCTGCTCCCCTAACCCCTCCCCTCCATCAAACCCGCCCTACGGACAGGGCCAGAAACCAAAACTGACCCCCAGGCCAGCAGCCCACTGGAGTTCAGGTGGCCATTGCCCCCAGAACTGGCTGCACACCAGGGGCAAATCCAAATGGGTCCCCCGGGGAGTTAGGATAGGGTCCTGGAATCAAGCAAAGGAGGGGCTGCTCATCAGACGGGGGCAGAAAAGAGTCCACAGAGCAGGCCTGAGTTGCTCTCCTGAAAAAGGGACCTACTTGCAAGGCTGGCCCTTGGCTGGCGTCCAGGAAGTTGGGGTTGCCCCCATTCCCTAAATGATGAGGGAGGCTCACTGTGCCCACGTTGTTTGTACAAGCCACATGTGAGCTTGTGGCTAGTGCACACTTTGAATGCAGCTGGTACAACCGAGGAACTGAATTTTTAATTTAATTGTAATGCATTTTAATTTCAATATCCCACAGGTGGGCAGTGGCTACCGGAGATAAGCACTGGGCTATCTCCATTTTACAGACGAGAGAACAAAGATGGGGGGAGATGCCAGGGTGGGGAAGTGGTGCACCTGACGTCTTCCCAGCAGTTCCCAGACATCCCTGCTGGGTCCCTCCAGAAACAGGGCTACAGTGGTCAGGGAGAAAAGCAGCACAAGCTGGCCCCCCAGGTGGGTACCACTCTGTACCGGTTTGGGTGGGAGGAGGGCAGCATGAACTGGAATTCCACCACGCAGGTGCCGTCCCGGAGCTGCCGGTGCTGCAGGCTGGTTAACTCGTAGGCGATGTAGCCCCTCCGCACATAAACCTAATGAAACAGAAGCACAGCTGACGGAGTGCCCTCAACACCTGAGAAAACTCAGGCTGAAGGGTCCCAGAAACGATCTTGAAATATGATCCCTAAAGTGGTAGCTCACAGCAAATTTGCTCACTCTTCAGGATGCTACTTTCTCTGCAAAGGACCAGATAGTAAGTATTTCAGGCTTTTGTGGAATATATCTTTATCACAACTACTCAATTCTGCTGTTGTAGGGACTTCCCTGGCGGTCCAGTGGTTAAGACTCCACGCTTCCACTACAGGGGGCATACATTCGTGCCACTGACAATATGTAAATGAGCAGGCGTGGCTGTGTTCCAATAAAACTTTATTTACAAAACCGGGCAGTGGGCCAGATGTGGCCCACAGACTATAGTTTGCTGACCCCTGCTCTAGAGTAACACTGTCCAACAGAAATACAACACAGGCCACGTAGGCAATTTTAAATCAATTTCAGATTTTTCCAGTTGATACTTAAAAAAAGGCAAGAGGTTAAATATAATTTTAATAATATATTTCATGTCATCCCCAATACCTAAAACATTATCATTTCAACATGTAATCAATTTAAAAAAATTAAGATATTTTAAATTCTTTCTCCATACTGAGTCTCTGGAATCCAGTGTGTATCTTACACTTCAAGCACAGCTCAGTCAGACTGGCCACACTGCAAGTGCTCAAAAGCCATGCATGGCCAGTGGCTGCCATATTGGACCACATGGTTCTAGAGTCTAAGCATTGGGAATTTTTTTAATTGAATAGGGAAGCCAGGGACTGTGCAGCAAAAGTTAACACAGCAGGCCTAATTGCTATCCTTTGAAAGGCCTGCTTGCAAGGCTGGCCTTTTGCTAGCAACTAAGAACCCAGATTTAGGGAGGATTCCCACCATTCCCAGATAAGAATGGTTGACGTTGCCTAATCTATGCAAACAGCATGATTTATGCTGAACATGTGTTTTCTTCCTGGGAGTTTAGAATTTTGGTATGTGTCAGGCAGAGAGTGCCTATGTGACCAGCCCCCAATAAAACTGTGGGTGTTAAGTCTCTAATGAGCTTCTGTGGTAGACAACTTTTACATGTGTTGCCATAATTTGTTTGTCAAGGAATTAAAAGTGCCTGGAGGACCACTGGAAGCTTGCGCATGGTGTCCTCTGGCCTTCACCCCATGAGCCCTTTCTCTCTGCTGACTGTGCTTTGTATCCTTTTGCTGTAATAAACCACAACTGTGAGCACATCTATATGCTGAGTCCTAGAGTCTTCCTAGAGAATCAGTGACCCTGGGCATGGTCTGGGAGGACCAGACACATTTTAAGCGGGGACAAAACTCTACACAACTCAAGAGGCCAAGTGAAAACCTTATGTTTACAATGCTCATCTTGAGTTGTGAAGAAAAGGTTGGATCCTATTCAATAAAACTGCCCAACCAAGTGATGGAACGTGTTAAGAAAGCGTCCTAGAAAAATCACTAACAGAAATAAATGGGATTCAGCACTTTATTAAGTGGGGAAGGTGGGCTGCTGCTTTCTATCTGACTCAGGACCCCTAGACTTAGGACCCCCTACATAGGACAGGTGTTTGGATGATGGGTGACAATGGTGATCAATACTCACATCTGATGCTTACTCATGCTGTGAGGTCAGCATTACTATCCCTATCTAAAGTACACGAATCTAAGAGTCCAGAGAAGGAAAGCAACTTGCCAGAGGTCACACAGCTTGGACCTTTGCACACGCCACTGACTGGAATCTCTCTGCTTCTCCCTCGCACAAATTCCTACTTGCTCTTCAGACACTTTCATGTCACTTTCTCATCAAAGTCTGAGTCGAACCTCCTGGTAAGGTTAAGTACTGCTGTGCAATTCTCATCACGGCCTGCATTTTCCCTCTGTGGCCCTATCACGTGTATAATTAAAGAAATACTGAGTGTGTGTCTCTCCCCAGCCAGAGAAGCTCCACTAAGGCAGAGACTATGGTTTTTCTCTAATGTATCCCCAGCAGCTGGAATACAGTAGGTCTCAATAATTACTGGTGAAAACTGAAGACGGGGGGAAAACACTTGGTAGCTACTTAAGAGCTGTATTAGGTCTCACTGCTGCGAACAAAGAGTGGGGCCTGGAGGGGTTCTTGGAGTCGAAACCAGGGGAGGGGTAAAAATTGCAGGCCCAGAGACACTGGCTGTAACATGCTTACAAGCCCAAAATGGTCTCCATGGAGACCCAGTCAACCTTCTGGCATCAGGATGGGTGACCCATGGGGTCTAAAAGATGGCAGAAGAGTGGGTACCACAGGGGACTGAGACTCCAAGTTCAGAGGGTAAAGAAATGAGGAGAAATCACCAGGGGAAGACAGTCAAGTTGAAGAAATGAGGAGAAATCACCGGGGAAGACAGTCAAGTTGAAAACACCCATCATCTCATAACTCCTTGAAAGGATTCTGAAAGAGCAGATGGAACATCGTGATGTCCTGAAATTAACCAAACACCTCTCAGCCCCTGAATTCAGGAAGACCAGAGCGGAAGCAGACAACCTGGCTCTAATCCAGGTTTTGCCACTGCTCGTGTTCATCTCTGCCTGACACACAGGGAGGTCACCTTAAACTGTCACCTAGGCTCCTTCCGGCTCTCATAGTTCCAAGTGGAAAAGTCTTTCAAAGGTATCTAAGGCAGGTGAGTTGGAAAGTTTGGATGAAGTGCCTCAGACTTGGCCCTTGGGGGTTCATATTTAACTGTGCCTGGTCCGGAGGAGGCTAGAATGGCACACAAGATAGCAGGGCTTACCAGCAAGGACTCTGGACTAAGACAGACCTAATGTGAATCCTGGTTTTGCTACTTCCTAGCTGTGTGACCTCGAGCAAGTTGCTTCACCTCTCTGAGCCTCCGTTCTCTTCTCCGTGAGACAGGTGTAAGTAACAGGACCTACCTTGTACAGAGAATGATAAGATCACGTTTGCCAGGCACGTGGCCTAGGGTCAGGCATGTGGCAGGCGGGCAGTGGATGTTAGGACCGGCATGGTCAGTACTGGTGCTGTTACGGGGGCCTCTCTCCTACTTACCTCCAAGGATGCCATGCAGACGACTTTGTTAGCATGATAGAAGAAAGTGGGCAGGACGTCAAATATGGTCGTTTCTGAGAGTATTAATTTCTACAGGAAATGGAAGGGGGAAAAAGCAGGAAAAGGGAATGTTAACGAGTTCTAACCAGCAGTCAGATAAGCAGGAGGGATGGGGGCAGGGAAGGAGGCTGGTCGTATCGTTATCACGAAACGTTGCCCATTTCCCAGGCCCACGAGATCTGAACATGGAGGCAGTTCTGGGGTGACTGCTCCCAGGGCTCCCAGCTCCAGATGTGGAGGGGGTGCCTGGAAGCCTGTGAATGAGGCAGATTTAGGAGGTGGGGGAGCCCTGGGAAGATGAAGCCATGACCCAACCATGTGAGTGCTCCCAGCTTCCAATAAGCTCCATGACACATGAACTTTTAACATCACACCTCCTGGGAGAGCCTTGCTGCCTGAGGCTCTGTCCATCCTGCAGGACTCAACCTCTCCCAGAGCCTCCCCTGGGCAGCCCTGGCCACACTGGACTAAACCACTGGAGTTGGCAGCTGTGCCCTGCACCCGAGTGCCAGCCCATCGAGGGAAGGGGGAGCCTGCTTCCCCACCCCCAGGCCCCACGTGGGCCATGGCGCATGCTCTCTGCCAAGTGCATGGATGGAGGTGGCCTCACCTTGAGGTTTTCCGGGCAGAACTGGTGGCCATACATGTCGATGGCAGACAGGAAAATGGACTCCACCTGGTTGTGCCTCAGCTCATAGGAGGGGAGGTGGGAGGCAATCAGGACCTGCAGGGGGAGGGGACAGAGGGGCTGGGGTGAGCCATCCTCATGGGGAGGAGCCAAGGGGCGGGTCCTGCAGCAGAGGGGACATGCACGGTGGGGGCCGCGTGTGGGGAAGGGCGGCACCCTGTGACGTCATGCACGGTGGGGACCACGGCTGGCGACCCTACCTGCCTGGCTCTGAGGGCCACTTTGCAGTGCTTGCTTTTGCTCAGCTGAGTGAGCTCGCTGAGGATGGAGGTCAGCTCATCTGACAGGGAAGGGTCTGGGCCACAGAGCTCATCCTTTGGGGGAGAGAAACAAAATCCAAATGGCTCTCTGTTCTACCAGAAGGAAACAGGCCAGCATTCACCCTTGGCCAGGGGGGTGGGGGTGTGGCTGCCCCCGCAAACCTGCACAGTGTGATACACATACCCTTGGCCACTCTCCACCAAGTACCCCCCTATTCATTCACTCTCCCATTCATCCACCCCAAAACATGCCCTAAATTCCTGGCATGAAGAAAAAGACAACAAAGTCTCTGCCTGCATCACTGTTAATGGCCAGCACTTATCAGGTACTTACTATGGCCGGGCAAGCAGCTAGACCCTTTCCACTCATTTCCTCAAATGCCCCCAACCCACTGACAAGTTACTATATGATTCCCATTTTACAGATGAGGAAACTGAGGCTCGGAGAGGCAGCGCGCCTTGCCCCAAGGCTACCAAGCACGTGCGAGGCAGAGCCAGATTTGAACCCAGGGCTCTCCTGTCGCTATGGCCTCTCCCTCTTTCCTCTAAACGTTGTTGCCTGACTTATGGAGCTCAGTTTCAGAGAAGAGGGATGAGGGGAAATAGAGGCAGGTATGAACAAAGAGTAAGGGTCACATGGGAGGCTTTGGTGACGGTGTGTAAGCTACCCTCCAGGAGCCCCAGTGTGAGGGGAGCATCTAGGGCCTGGAGAGGTCAAGGGAGGCTTCCTGCAAGAGAGAAGATCTAGAGGTGGAACTTGCAGAAGAGGCAGGGATGAGGGTTCCTACGTGCATCCCTCCTCTCTGCTTCTGAACAAGGGACCTTTCTGCTGGAGACCAGGGCCGCATGCGACTGGTCTTTGCAACTCCTCTTATGCCCTAAATGCAAGAAGGGCTCGGTAATGGCTCAGAGCTTATACTCCCTCAATACCCACAAAGACAGAACAATGAATGCTGGGAATCTGAATGCCTGGGCATCACACCCCCCCTTCCTTGCACCAGGCCGTTCTCCAAGTGGTCACCAGGTGGTGGTGCCAGGGGTCATTCTTTTCCGCATCTGCTTCTGCATTTTCCTAATTAGAATGAGACCACACTGTTTTTACAGTCAGAAAAAATTTTTTTTAACATATTAATATTTCACACTTGTACACAAACACATAGCATGTCAGTGCTGAAGAAATCTCGTGGGAAATTATTCTAAACTTTCTCTCCCTCCCAAATTCTGATTTGCTTTATCAAGTGGCGGTGGCATTAGTCTCCATCATTCCACCAGCCTGTGACTCCAAGGATAGCACAGAACGTAGGCGCTGTCCAACAACCAGGCTAGTGGTTTTCTAAGAGAGGAAAGACTCAGGAGTTCCCTGTGGCCTAGTGGTTAGGATTCTGGGCTTTCACTGCTGTGGCCTGGGTTCAATCCCTGGTTGGGAAAGATCTTGCAAGCCGTGTGGCATGGCCAAAGATAGGAATAAAAAATAAATAAGAGAGGAAAGACTCAAGACAAGTTTTGTATGAAAAATTTAAAAATCTGGCCACCACACTCTACACACACAAGTCTAAAATACTCTCTCTCTTTCTTGTTAACTTTTGTGAAGTGGTCCCATGGCGTGTATTTTAGTTCACAGCATCATGTTTTGTTTTCTCTGTTTTGTCATTAGCAAAGTCCTATAACCACTGAATTGATGTTCAGAAATGAGGTTGCCTGTAAAGACTCAAAAAAATTTCATTTCCAAGTAATCACTCAATTAACAAGTCTTTGCTCAAAATCTCCAAAGCATCAAATACCGTCAAATGCAAAGAACCCACCATTTTCTAGCAAATGGAAACAAGAGAGCCAGAAGAATAATGAATCTCACATATAACCCCCAAACCACACCTGCTACAACATTTTTAGCCTCCTTCACCAAGAAGCCCCTGGCAGTGCCCTAGTTCTCTGATCTGGGGGCCATTCCACCAGGCCGTCCTCTTCCCCAGGCCATCCTCTGATGAACATTATTTTTAAGAACTTCATGCCCAAAAGAGAGTTATTATGTACACAAAGAGTAGCAAACAGCAGAATAACCCACAGACCCAAGCCCTGGCCTATGAACAAATGGTGAGTGGACTGTAATAAATTATAGGCATCCTTTGTTTTACAGATACTCACACTTAAGAAGACTCCATCCAAAGGAGGTACTTTGAGAAAAGGGTTATATTATTTTAGCAATGAAATTCCCCCCAAGACTAGATATGTCCTTGGTCTTAAGTTCCCAATCCTGGCTGCATATTGCAATCACTTGGGGATCCTTCCTCCCAAATTTAATTTTTTTTTAAATTTTATTTATTTTTGGCTGCATTGGGTCTTTGTTGCTGTGCGCGGGCTTTCTCTAGTTGCAGCAAGCGGGGGCTACTCTTCGTTGCGGTGCGCGGGCTTCTCACTGCAGTGGCTTCTCTTATCGTGGAGCACGGGCTCTAGCCACGCGGGCTTCAGTAGTTGTGGCATGCGGGCTCAGTAGTTGTGGCTCGCAGGCTTCAGTAGTTGTGGCGCATATGCTTAGTTGCTCCGTGGCATGTGGGATCTTCCTGGACCAGGGAATGAACCCGTGTCCCCTGCACTGGCAGGCAGATTCTTAACCCCTGCGCCACCAGGGAAGTCCCCCAAATTTAATTTTGAAGAACTTCAAAACTACAGGAGATCAGTACATCGAAAATTATCCAGATTCAGCAATTGCTAAACTTTCACATTTGCTTTTCTAGTAAGCATACGTGCATGCCTGTACACACACACACACTCTCTCACTCTTTTCTCTTTCTTTCAGTTGCAGACACCATGATCCTTCCCACTACTTCAGAATGTACCCCCTTGAGAAAAAAGATCTCTCCCCAGCTAACTGTAGAACTGTTAAAACACTCCAAAAATTGAACACTAGACCAATATTATTATCTAATATACAGTCCCCGTTTAAACTTCCCATTGGAGAAGCTTTCAGAAAGTACTAATGCCTGGGCCCCATCCACAGAAACCCTGAGTTAATGGACCAAGGGTGGGGCCTGGGCATCTGTATTTTTTAAAAGCTCCCCCACCCCCACCCCAGGTGGTTCTCAAGTACAGCCTGGATTAAGAGAATCTCATGCTGCATTAGGAGATTTTTAAATGATTCTTTACAAAAATATCAATATTTATGAATCCATTTTGTTAGGGTGTTAACTGCCCTATAAGCCCAGGCCCAAATCTGGCCCACTGCCCAGTTTTGTAAATAAAGTTTTATTGGCACAGAGCCACACTCATTCATTCACATATTGTCTATGGCCACTTTCACGCTACAATGGCAGGACTGAGTAGTTTCAACATAGGCTGCATGGCCAAAGCCTGAAATATTTACTCTCTGGCCCCTTACAGAAAAAAGAAATCTGCCGACCCCTTCCTGCTATAAGCCAAGCCCAAGTCTCTGCTACTATCTGCTGATCCTGCATTTTCTAAGTCACGTCAAGGAAAAAAATCTTTAGCTATAAAGGATTGCTAATTATTACCCAGTAGGAGGAGAAATAAGAACAAAGACATTCCACGCTTCACCAAGAAGGCAAAATGAAAGCCCTACCAGAAGACTCGGAATCCAATACCCCTTGACTAATCATAGCTCATGACTCTGGAGCCATGCTGTGGGTTCAAATCCCAGCTCTGCACTTATAAGCTGGGTACCCTTGGGAAAGTGATTTCACCTCTCTGTGCTGTCAAAGGAGGATGAGAACGGTACCGACCTCCTAGGGCTGCTTAGGGAATTAAACAAGTTAGTATTTGTAAAGCATGTCAGGAGTGCCTGGCACACAGTAGGTGCTTTGTGGGTTAGTCATGATCTCCCCCAGGGGTCAACAAATCCTACCTACTGCCTAGTTTTATAAGCAAAGTTTTATTGGAACACAGCCATGCCCATTTGCTTACACTGTGCCACAGCAGCATTGAGAGGTCAGGGCAGAGACCATATCCTGGGCTAAATCTAATATATTTACTCTCTGGCCCTTTCCAGAAAAAGTCGGTGGAGCCCTGAGCTACCCCCACTCTGGGTAAAGGGTGACTTTTCTTGCTTACGATCAACATGATCACCAGCTGGTTCTTCTTGGCCACCTGCGCGTGGGAGAAGATGCAGTCCAACACCTGGGACATGTCTGGTTTCAGCTGCTCCCTGAGGTTTATCACACACTTGTCGTAGTGGGCTGCAGGGAGACAAAAGGCCACGTGGGGTAAGGCTCGGGGCCCCTCCTGCCCCCGTGGGCTTGTCACCAATGCTTGCGGTGGCGACTCTTGCCTTGTTGGAAATGGTGCTCAACCAGCAAATATCTTCGCAGGAGATCCAACACCACCGCCTTCATGTAGCCCCGGGTCCCACTGCGGTATCTGGGGAGGAAGGGAAGGCTGGCTTAGTGATCAACTCTACTTCCTGGGGTGCCGGAGTTATCCACAGCCAGGACTTTTATGATTTGAATAAGGAGAAAACACTAATAAAGAAACTGGAGGCTGCTCCCTCTAATCTTTAGGCCTGGAAGGGATGTGTGAGTTAGTTCATTTGTGCTAATAACTCCGCAGGCCAGAGAGAGCAGTGACTTGCCCAAGGTCACACATCCAACGAGAGGCCAAGCCTGAGCCTTTGGATGATGCCTGCCCGTCCCCAGAGAGAAGGAAAAACACTTACAGAGTTGGGATGCTGAAAGGGGTCAGCCTTGCATGCATGGTTGAAAAGCAAAAATTTTCAATTAACCACTCAATGTATAAAGACAGATTGGAAAACAAAACAAAACAAAACTTGAAGGACATTTACCAAAAGATCCCTGTGTAAATTTCACTTCCGTTTTAAAACCAAATGGTAACCTGGATGTTCCTTAAACCATTTCCTCTTCTAAACTATTTCAGAACACAGGGAATTGAGCGTGTAAGAGAATGTGATGCTGAGTTTTAGGGAAGCTGAAAGCAGCTTCACCCCAGCATCACCAAAGGGCAACAAAAGAGAGGAAGAACCTAAAATACTCTCTTATTCAGATGTGATTTTAAAAACACACACGAACACAACATAAGACAGAGCTTTGCGATTTATATTTAACACACAAAATCCTGCTATGGAATTTGATTCGTTTGTCATTTGTTCATTTCTCCTAGGCATTTCCATTGCTGAAGGATGGGTTAGCGTTAGCAGGCTAAGGGAGGCAAAGTGATCCTGCACATCCAGCTGTGACTCTCACTTGGTGGGGAATCCAAACTCCAATCTCCTTCCTCAGCTGCGATCCTATCTTGTTAGTATGAGTCCCCATGAGCCAGGGAGTGCCCTGAAAAGGACGGCATTTTCCTATAGTCCTATATCCTCTGTACCTCTGATAGTTTCTGCCTCATGGCTAACATGCGCTGAATGAATTCGCTGAAGTCTGAGAATGTTTGGATTCTGTCCTTATAGGCAAAGCTTTCTTGCTGGGTAGAGTTTTCATGCAAAAGGGCAGTTCTTTTTATCATCAGAATAGTTCTCCCTGCTCAAGAACTACTTAAGATAAAATACAAATTCTTCGCCAACTCCTCCTTTGCAAGGATCCCCCAAAACCGCAAGGATAATCTGTATAATCCTTTACAGCCTATAAAGCCATCTCATCCCACTGTCTCATAATCAAAGCTACCACAAGGACTCACTATGTGTCAGCACTTTACAAAAATCAATCTGCTCATAGCTCAAAATGACTTATGGTGTGTGAAGTGTTTTTATCCCCAGTTAACAGACTGGCAAACTGAGATTCACGGAGGTAAAGGGTGTTGCTTTGTTCTGCTGTTAGGAAGGGCTGTGCTGGGGATGTAAGTGGGGTATCGGACCCCAGGCACTGTCTCTCAGTCTTAGCCTGCCCTTAAGATAGCACCACCCTGGGGCAATACATGGATAACTGAGTGTGATAACCACACCCCAAGGAGGGCCCAGGACTCACTTCTGGACCAGCTGCACAATGCTCTGGGTGTTCATGAAGAAGACCTCCCGATCGGCCTTCCGCTGCAGGGTGGCCGCATGGCAGTCCAGGATGGTGGCTATCTGCATGGGAAAACGGGACAGGTCACAGGCCACTCAAACCACACAATCTGGTTGCCACGCAGAAGTCACCAGAAGGACCCACCACAGGCTCCCATGGGGATCCCATTCAAAAATTTAAAATTCCAGCCCCAAAGCCCTCTGGCCACCCAGAAACAGCTCTGCACACCCCACTCAACACGTGGCTTGAGGACTCAAGAGCTCAGAATGACAACAATCACATAAAGACACGCACCACTGTATCATCCCTCTCCACAAATTCAAATGCTCTGGGGAAAGAGGAGAAGGGAATTTCCAACCCCAGGGAGCATGAGGGTGTTGGCTATGGGGGTCCTATTTTTACAGTTAGATTTAATGCGATCGGCATGTTGTCTGTGGCGACAAAAAAAACATGTAATGAAAAACCTGCATCAATAACAAATTCCCAGAAGGTTCCAACATGTATTTTTCTCAACTGGGGTCCCTGAGAGCTTTGTTTTCATTATTTTTAGTTGAGATAGAATTCATATACCATCATCTTCCGCCCCCCTTCTTTTAAAGTGTACAATTAATTCCGTGCTTTTAGTATATTCACAGAGCTGTGCAACCATCACCGCCATCCAATTTCAGAGCGTTTTCTTCTCCCCCAAAAGAAATCCTATAACCATTAGCAGCTACTCGCCAACCCCCCCGCCCCCAGCCCCTGGCAACCACTGATCTACTTCCTCTTCTCCGTGGATTTGCCAGTTCTGAATGTTTCATATAAATGGAATCAGGCAACACGTGGTCTTTAATGATTGGCTTCTTTCACTGCGCATCATGTTTTCAAGGTTCATCCCTGGGGTAGCATGAATCAGTATTTCATTCCTTTTTATGGCCGAACGATACTCCAACCTAGAGGTTGACCTCTGGGAATAAACTGACTTACACTGACCTCGGGCGCCCCAAATTGCTGACATGTGGGTGGGGTGATGGTGGGAGGCAGCCCTTATAACCAGGCAGAGGGCATGAAGATAAAAAAGAGATGGCTCTTCAAAATGCAGATTTCCTTTAAAACGCCTGATAAAAGCGACCCCAAAAAAGAACAAAACGAGGCCATTGTAGAATTATTAGAGATTTCTGATACTACCCGGGAATGGTTTCCATTCTTAAATAATATTATATATACATATAGCCCCAAGATTGTCACCTTACACAAAGCAGAGGGGGAGAATCAGTTCTACACACTGGCAAGAAGAACTCACAATGTCCTCTACTGTGTCAGCCAGCGTATTTTTGGAAAACGCTCACTCTGTTTGCACCAACTGCTTACTCCTGTTCCACAGCCGAGTTATACAGAGTGAGGCCTAATAACTGTTTATGTTCCTCTAAACAACTGTTGTTTTGGGGGAAATGCTGCGATCCTGCAGAGAAGACGTGAAAGAAAACTCTCAGTCCCCAGCATCTTGGCTGTCAGTGGGTCTCGTGAAGCCCGATTTGATCAGAGACCGGACGTCCGCACTGATGGGGAGACAAGTTCCCAGCGGGGCTGGAGTGGGGGTGGGGGCACCCACCTGCTGGCTGGGGAACTGGCACAGCACCGAGGTGATGTTGCTGGCGTACTGGGCCATCACCCTGCGGACAGCCTTCTCCACGGGGGCGGGGATGCGGCCCGACACGCTGGTCATGATCTCCTGCAGATCCAGCAGTGGCAGCGTTGGGTGCCGCAGGGTCATCAGGAGCTTCTGCACCCAGTCCTTCAGCTGCAGCGGGGAGCACAGAGTCGGCCCAAGGCTGTGCTGGGGGCATGGGCACGGCCGCCCACCACGGGGCGGCTGACACACTCAGCCCATCCAGGCCCCGTGCACGTGAGTGGCCAAAGATCTAGACCCAGTGGCCTGTGGAACAGTCCAGAGTAGAATGGCCCGCTGACCACAGGGGGAATGAACACCCAGTTTCCCGACCCAGGAAGGCCCCACTCCCCTCTCCATGCATCCAAACAGCCAGCCTGGTGTGGGGATAGAACACCAGGCCCTGGGAAAAGCGAACATTTGTGGGACACTGGCTTTGTGCCAGACACTGTCCTAGGTCCTGGATTTGCATATTCTCATTTGATCCTCAGAGACAACCCCACAAAGTAGGAATAATCATTATTTGCATTTTCCAGTTGAGGAAACTGAAACACAGAGAGGTTAATTAAGTTACCCAAAGTCACCCAGCTAGTAGGAAGCAAAGCCAGGACGCAAACTCAGGCAGTCTCAGAGACTCTTAACAGCTGCATTGCACTGCTTCCGGCTCACCCGGAAGCAGAACTGTTGATGGTCTTTGAATGGGGAGGATAATGGCGCCAACCCCATAACGTGATTGTAAGGTTTAAAAATGAAACCATGCACACACAGGCAAGTGCAAAGACTTAAAAAAATGTTGTAATTCTAGCAGTTAAGCAGCATAACCTAGGGGCTAAGTGCATGGACTCTGAAGCTAGGGGGCCAGGGTTCAAGTCCCCTCTTTGCCTCTTCATGGGTGAAACAAGGCAAATTTTGTAGCCTCTCTGTGCCTCAGTTTCCTCACCTGTAAAATGGAAATAATAACAGTTCTTACCTCCTAGGTTGTTGGGACGGTGAAATGACTTAATAAGGTTCAAGTACTTAGAGTAGTAGATGGCACATAGCATGTACAGGACAAGGGCTGAGTTATTACTATGACCACCAACACTGTGATTGGCTTTTCTGGGATGGAATGTGACGTAGCGCAGTTTTATAGTTACTGACGTTGAGTTTAGCAGCATGGGTCTTTCACGGAGGTCTGAAAATTTGAGGACTTGTTTCTCTACAGACAACGGGACCCTGGGATGATGAACAGAGTTGTGTTTCTGGACAAAGCCCTTCCTCGCTGTCTCTTTAAGAGGGTGACCCACATCGACTCCTTTCTTAACTTACTATGTGAACATTCTCAGTGTTGAGCTGAACCCAACCCCAAAAAGCAATGTCACCTTTACAACAGTTTATAATCAGAGAGAAACATACACTGATGTTTACAATGAAACTGAGGAACTTCCTGAGAATGGGTCCTTGATAGAAACAACAGAGGATGAATCATTTTCTCATTTCTTACCTCAATAAAGATCTCTGGGATCTTCTAGCTCTCATGCGGACCTATGCACGTGTGTGTGATACACACCTACCCTGCCCACGTGACCCACCTTGATGCTAAAAATAGGCTCCGGCAGACAGTAGCCCTTCATGATGTTCCTCAGATTTTCCAGGACACTGCGAAAAACCTGGTGCAGTTTCTCTCCGAGGATGGGCAGCGTCGGTTGGGAGGGGAGCTCTCCCGTGAATGGCTCAGCCTGATGGGACACCACAGGAGTCAGAGGTCAAGGCCACTGTGGCCTCTGAATGAGACATGCAAGCCAAGGGCCGAGGCAGAGCTACCAACACACAATATACACAATACACATAATGCGGTTATCATGAAGCCTGCGGGGGAGGGGGGAACAGAAGAAAACATTGTATTGGAAAGTTAAAATTGCTACATTCACACCCCTGTGTGAGGTTTCCAAATCTTCCCCTTTACAAATGTCAGAGTCAATTATGTACCCCAAATAATTTTGGAGGGCATTAGATGTGATTGAAAACAAAATGTTCACATGTTGAGATCTGGGGAAGTGATTCTGGCTTCTACATGAGTTAACTTGAATTTCATGCTAACTAGAGCAGCCAGTTTGTAGCCAATCAAACATACACTGTACATAAGCTTTAATTATTAAAGAAAAGGGCGCACTGACCAGAAGTAAAGAATGTCCATGTTAAAAATAAAGATGAAATGCCTGCCTTCCTCGGACGCCCATGCTGGTTCTCCTTTGATGATAAGATTCCCTTCCCAGGTGCCAAGGCCATATGGACTCGCTGTGTACCTGCTGATCTGTTCTGTTTTTGTGTGTGTGTGTGTGTCCTGAAACCTTGAAGGAATGTATCCCTGACTTGTTTCATGTTCTTTGTTCTGACAAGACATAAAATTGTGCTGAAAAAAATGCTCCTTGGGAGCAGTTCCTCAGAGTTATCTGAAAGGTTGTCTTTCGGGCTATGGTCCTCAGTTTGGTTCAAATAAAACTCTTTCTATTCCTATTAAGACTGTTTATTATTTTTGTCGACAGATGTTTTTGTTTTGCTTTGCTTTCAAACCAAGATCATCTTCCTGTTTTTTTCCATTTATTTCAGTCTCACTCGAACCCCAAAGATGAATGCCTAGCAGGGTGAAAATTTAGGAAACTGTCATGCAAGTGTACGTGCTATTTTTTTTTTTTTTTCGGTACGCGGGCCTCTCACTGTTGTGGCCTCTCCCGTTGCGGAGCACAGGCTCCGGACTCGCAGGCTCAGCAGCCATGGCTCACGGGCCCAGCCGCTCCACGGCATGTGGGATCTTCCCCGACTGGGGCACGAACCCATGTCCCCTGCATCGGCAGGCGGACTCCCAACCACTGCACCACCAGGGAAGCCCGTGTACGTGCTTTTTGTAAATCATAAACATTTAGCCTTAAAGGATCCCCAAATAAAAAGCTCCCCAAAGGGGCAACACTGACTTAATGTATCCATTCGTCTGTTAATTTATTCGACAAATATCCACTCAGCACCAACTGCGGGAGGCACTGGGACCCAGGAGCTGGGGCATGCTATTCTGCTGGCCCAGAACCCTCAGCTTCCTGTCCCTCGACTCCACTCCCAACCCTGCAGGCTCCTCTCACCCTTGAAGATTAGCCGGAGGGTTTCCCCTCTCCACAATCTGCTGCTGGCTTCTCCACCTGGGCCCTCACAGCCAGCGGCCAAGCGCAGTCCCTCTGACTGCACTTACTGAGCTGAATTACAAAGGCTTATCTGCCTGTCTTTCTCACGGGCATCTGTGAGCCTCCTGACCTGTGGCTGGGCGCTGTCTCAAGAACCTAGCCCGGGAAACGGGAAACGTTTGCTAAAAGGAATCACAAAGCAAGCACAGACCTTCCTGGTGATCTAACGAAGCTCAGTCTACTTCTAGCTTTGGGAACCCTCTAAAAAGAATAATGAAAAGAAGGAGAAGAAAAAAATGAAACTAATAGAATAGTCTGAAGAAAAGAGTCGATTTGATTTTTTAAAAAAATGCTCTTCTAGCTTTTCTTTTTTCCTGGGCATATACACTAATTATTGTAGAGAAAACAAAATTACATGCATAGATGGCCAGCCACCTCCCCGCAGGCCCGGCTCACTGTAGGAGGGTAAGTCATGTCATGTCACGGAGAGCTGACAGCTCTATATAACGCACTGGGGGGATGATGTTTGCGTCAAAGTTCACAGGAAGAACCCTTCCCCTGTAAGCGTCTGGGAGAAGGTTCTTCCAGGCAGAGGGAGCTGGCCCCAGGGGGACGGGTCTGGAGCATTAGATTAAGGGAGGGGTAGTGGGGGAGGAGACGAAGCCAGGGAAGAAAGCAGGGCACAGCTCAAGGGGGGGTCTTGGAGATCATCGGAAACACGTGGCTTTTATTCTAAGTGGGATGGGAAGCTGCTGAGAAGGATGTGAGCACAGGCAGACACAGTCCTACGCCCATCGTGCTGGCTGCTGGGAGCGGGTGGTGGCGGGAGATCCGGGGCCACAAGCCTATCTGGCTCACGGGGTAGCTGTGCCGGGTGCCACATACCGGGTGCACTTTAGAAGGGTCATCGAGGTCCAGCCTGGCCACCACACAGCCTGCTTCCAACACAGCCCCTGGGCGCTTGACGTACTTCACCCGGCCACTTTCCTGCACATTCAGGGTCGTGATCATCTTCATCACCTGTTTTGCAGAAAGAAGAAATTATATGGAGCCCACTAGGACTGGCCGGTGTCACCCCAAACTAGTAACTCTGGAGCAGGGGCCGTGTCATTTACATTGAATGACTCCGTGGGCAGAGTTCAAGCGGAGGGGAGAGAGGGAACCAGCATTTACACAATCTGTTGTGTACCAGGCACAGTGCTGGGCATAAATTTTTTCCATCTGCAAAGCCAGCCAGAGAGGCAGGTGTTCCTTGTGCCCATTTTACAGACATGGAAACTGATCTTTGTTTCCAAAGGAAGACCTCTCTCTTAGAAATACAGATGAATCATACGATGTAGGGTGACTGACACACACATTCCTAAAATGCGGTGCATTTTGTGACCAGCTCCGGTTTTTAAAGGCAGTGAGAAAACCCTCTGGGGAATGAAGAACATGACTGCAGTACAGTCATCAGCCCCTTAACTGGTCTGAGTCGGGCCGTGTGGACGTGATGAGTTTTGTTATCATGTGTGGGCTGCAGACCGACAGGACTGTCCCACCCTTTGCTCAGAAGTTCACAGCTTGGGCACTCAAGTCAGCCAGGCCTGGGATGGAACCCTGCTCCCACCCATCACTCTGTGATCTCCACACATGCCTTCCCCTCTCTGAGCCTCAGTTTTCCCAACAGTAAAATGGGAGGAAATGACAGTCTTGCCTCACAGGGCGCTGATAAGGATGAAGCAGGATGGCACATAGTCGGAGGCCAACAAGCATCAGCTACTACTGTTGCTATATTTTCATTACAAAAATCACTATTTTCCTGGGCAGCAGAGAATGGAGGCCAGGTTTGAATCCTGGCTTGATGTGACCTTGAGTGAGTTCCTTAGCCTGCCTGGGCCCCGTGTCTTCATGTACAAAATGGGGGTCCCATTTGTGTCCAACTTATATGATTGCTGGGAAGATTAAAGAAGGTAATTAAAGACAGATAAAATGCTTAGAATAGTGCTTGCCATGTGGGAAGTGCTTTGCTTCTGTTGGCTTACCACTTTTTTTTTTTTTTTTTTTTTTTTTTTTTTTTTTTGCGGTACACGGGCCTCTCACTATTGTGGCCTCTCCCGTTGTGAAGCAACAGGCTCCGGACGCGCAGGCTCAGCGGCCGTGGCTCACGGGCCCAGCCGCTCCGCGGTATGTGGGATCTTCCCGGACCAGGGCACGAACCCATGTCCCCTGCATTGGCAGGCGGACTCTCAACCACTGCGCTACCAGGGAAGCCCGGCTTACCACTGTTTAATTGTCCGCATCATGATCGTTCATCTGTTCTTACTCACTCCTGGGGAGGTATACATTTTTGATTTTTTTTCCCTTTGGATATTGCAGGGAATTGGGGCTGAACCCCAAACACATGGCTCTCTTAGGAATCTGCAGATGACAGCCCAGGTGAGAGGGGAGGTCTATTGGCTTAGATGAAGCAGCATTGGCAGATGGCCCTCCCTGGGGGAGGGGGTGTAAGGGAGACCTGGCTGCAGCCCTCCCTCCCTCCCAGGGGGCTAGCTCTGCGGTCACCTCTATCTCAGCATAGCTGCCCCCAGCCTCGATGTGGTCCCCGTCCTCCACCATGTACTGTATCAGCTTCCCCGTCGAAGGGGCTCTCAGGACCGTGGGATCATTCTCCTTCTCAAACACACACGTCTTGTTGCCGATGGTGATTCGGTAACTGGAGAGAGAAGGAGTGGGGAGGTGGTGGGGAGACTGGGGAGGACCGTCGACCCAGGTGCCCGAGTCAGGGTTTCGACAGCCTCTTCCCTTCCTAAAGGCAGCCGGGAGCATCACCCTGTGTGTGGTTTGAGGGACTTACTCCATTTTTCCCAAATGGTAGCATTTGACAGTTACCGCAGAGACTTTGGGAGTGAGCTGGGTGGGACCCTTTACTGGCTGAAAACTAGTTCCTTTTCCTGACATAATTCCAACAGGCCCTGGCATAGAGAAAGCAATCAATCACTATTATTCAGTAAATACTGACCCACTGAAAGCCTTCACCTTAGAATTGGGAAGAGCATGCCGCATGGATGGAGCTTATCATCATCTCGAACATTCTTGGCAGATAGAACACGGGTTAAAAAGAGGTAAAAAAACACCGATCTGGGATGAATCTAGTCCACCTTCTTCCATTGAGGATTCGGAAGGGAATCTAACTGGAGCTTTTTCAGGCACGGGGCCTCTGGAACCCCACTCCTCCCCATCTTAGTCTCTTGGTCGGGGGGGGGGTCTTTGCTGCCTTTCCGTGGGGGTGGGCGGGTCTGTTTCATCGTGTGAGCTCAGGGTGGTCAGACACGCTGGACCAAGAGGACATGCGATGCCCCCGTGCAAAGTGCTTCCGGATCATCCCGCCCTCCACCCATCCAGACACAGAGCAAGCTTTCCTGCCGCCATCTGCTCATTCGATGTGTCTCTTCCCCCACAGACTCCATGAGTCATGACCATGTCTGTATCCTAACACCTAGCACGTCATCTGGTGTAAGCAGATGCTCAATAAATAGCCCCTTCCCTAATCGGACGACCTCATCTTCTCCAAGCCTTGATCTGATGGGTGTGGACACCGCAGCTCAGACCCGGAGCCTCTGGCACTCAGCACACACCTTGCAGGCCGTGGAGCTGGGAGTCACGTCCCATTCGGCTCTGAATCCTCCCAAGTCACTAGAAAAGGGCCCCCTGGGAGCCTCCCATAAATGCCTGCCAGCTGCATGGAATTCCAGCCGAGAGATTAACCTCTCCAGGAGCCCCAGAACGTTCCAGAGAAGGTGCCTTAGCTAAGACCCTCAGACCTGCAGGGGAGAGCTGGCCCTGTGTGCCCTCCACGACCACACACCTGTCGACCTCCTCCTTCAGGTACGTGGTGTAGCTGCTGCCACTGTAGGACAGCAGCAGCCCCCCGTCGTTCAGCCGGTGGGCGTCGATCTCGATGTGACAGCCGTTCATGATGAGGACGAACATGGTTGGAGACTGCCGGGCCACCTGTGGGGACAGTTCGATGTCCCCACCTGAAATGAGGATGCCTGCTTGACCCTGTGCCCCCAGAGCACCGCCTGGCCCCCCTGACCACAAGCAAAGGCTAGTGTCCACAGCGGGAGTGCTGGGGTGGACACCTCACCTCTCGAGGCCCAGCCCTCGCTCACCCCAAGGGAGCAGCGACGGGGAGGGAGCCCGGGGTCAGCGAGCCACACCTGCGCTGTGGGTGGGCTAGTGGCTGCCGGCCGCAGGTGTAGCCCCAGGCCGGGCATCACTGTCCATTGTGTGCCCTTGAGGGCTGGGGGCTTTCTTCTGATCCTGTCTCCAAGCAGGGTTGCCCTGGGAGCCAGGGAGATGGGGGTCTTGCTCTGGGTGAGGCAGACCTGGGGCCTCCATCAGTGGCCTGGACATGGACTTGGGCTCTGCCCGCTAGACCTGGCCCTGCCCAGGGGCACACAATGGATCTGGGACACTGGAAGGAGACATATACGGCCAGGCCCTGGCCTCAGCTCTGCATTTCAATCTGAAATACCAGCCCCACCTGGCCCTCAGTTCAAAGTATGTGCTCTCTCTCAGAAAACTAACACCCTAAAGAGCCCTCAACCTCTAAAATATATATATAGTGACAAAAGATGGCAAGAAATAGAGGAATATTTATTGCCACGTTATTTATGGGAAAACCTAGAATCAAACGAGCTCTCCAACAGTGGGTGCTGCCATGGAATGTTCTAGACTGCACTGTCAAATATGGTAGCCCCTAGCCAGATGTTCAAATGTAAGTTAATTAAAATTAAATGAAAGATAGAATTCAGCTCCTCAGTTACACTCGCCACATTTCAAGTACTCCATAGCCCCAGGTGGCCCATACTGGACAGAGCAGATTTAGAACATTTCCATACCTGCGGAAAGTACTATTGGACCGTGCTGCAGACTCTAAACTGATGTTAGGAAAACTTGCTAATAACAGGGGGAAACTATAGGCCATGACAATATCAAAGCAGTAAAAACATCTGCACTATGATCTTAACTTTATAAAAGCAATGCATAAGGAAAAAAATAACTGAAAAGAAGTCTGCTAAAACGTCTGCACCCGGGCCACAGCAGTGAAAGCGCAGAACCCTAACCACTAGACCACCAGGGAGCTCCCCCATGCTGGACTGTTTTTCTGACACTTCATGCTTGTTTGCTGTTTTGAAATGTTCTGCAACGAGCACGTGTCATATTTAAAATCAAGTTGAGGGGACCCAGGGCCCCAAAGGTAGCCAGGAAGCATCAGAGGCAAAAGGGAAGCGATTTTACACACGTTACGTGGATAACACACTCGTGTGGCTGAACGACGCCTGAGAATCTCCAAAGCTGAAAGTTCAATGTATGTTCAGCAATGTTCAAAATCAAGTAAGAGGAAATAAAAATTCTGTTGCCTTTTCCATGGAATGTGAGGCTGGGAAGTGATGGGGAGGCCCTGGCTTCCCAGGGACACATCGCTCCAAAGGTCACCCCGACTTGGACCCGGGGGACTCACCCTGTGCTCGCACATCTCAAACATTCTTTGATACTCTGCTGAATTGGCCTGGGACGGCTCAGGACGGGTAACTAGATATTTCCAACAGAGAAGAGCGACCCTGACAAGCTCCAGGGATGCTGGTGATAGACCCGGAAGCAGTCAGAAATCCACACATTGATTCTCGGTGCAGAGACGCTGGACAAAGCCAGTCTCACAGCCCTGGGAAGTGCAGCCAGACGCTCTGCTCTTGAGCAGTGGTCCGGCTCACACTGTGTAAGGGGTTGAATTATGTCCCCCCAAATTCAAGTCCTCCCTGGAACCTCGGCTTGTGACCTTAATGGAAACAGGGTCTTTGCAGATGTAGTTAGTTAAGGAGGGGTTGTGCCAGATTAGGCTGAACCCTAAATCCAGTCTGACTGGTGTTCTTGTAAGAGAAGAGACCCAGAGAGACAGGCACAGAAGGATGAGGATGTGAAGACAGACAGACAGACACAGACACACTCAGAGAAGGTGGCCGTACAAAGCCAGAGACTGGTAGAGACTGGAGTGACAACCTACAAGCTAAGGAACACCAAGGACTGCCCACAACTACCAGAAGCTAGGAATGCATGCTCCCTGGGAGCCTTCAAAGAGACCATGGTCCAGCCAACACCTTGATTTTGGACTTCCGGCCTCCAGAACTGAGAGACTATAAATTTCTGTTGTTTGAAGTGACACCAGTTTATGGGACTTCATTACGGCAGCCACGGGAAACCAACACATGCTCTAACGTGCCTTGTGAGCGTGGCTCAAGCCTACGGGTTCTGGAATCCAAAGACCTTAGATTTCAAGGTCACGGGACTGCACGGGGAGTCCTGGGACCAAGCATGAGAAAATCCACTGCAGGGATGGCCCGCTGCAGAAATAAAACTCCCCTGAGCCACCAGAGTGTGGGAGACATCTAACAGGGACCTTTACCTTGAGGATGTATTTAACGCCTCCGTAGATTAATTCTACATCCACAATGTTCAGCAGAGAGTCTGCGGGGAGGACCTGGCCCCTGAGAGAGAAGACAGACCTGTGGTCAGTTTGGGAGTGACCAAGAACTCCGCAGCCATCCATCCCCTGGATATGAAAATCCACCCACTCTTTGCCTCTTCTAACTATCAACACACCTGATTGATAAAAGGCAAGGAATGGAGAGTCCCAAGGAACCTGACATCCCTTAGAACTTAAGGAAACTGCTCTTGCTACAGGATGTGACGTTTCCAAAAGGCTCCTCTAAGAAGCAATAACCATATTGCTTCTTCTTGAAAAAATTCCTTACGTGGGAATTCTGCCACCCGCTTATGAAAGAAAGGAATGCACGGATTGGGATTCTATTACCATCCAAAAGCATATTCTCCAAGCACTAAGAACTTTCGCCCTTCTAGTTCCCTTTCAGTAGCTTCCTTTGCCTACCACAGTGGTTTTCAAGGTGGGGTCTGCCTCTACCCCGAGGACACCTGGCAATATCTGGAGACATACTGGATTGTTCTGACTTCCAGGGGGAGAGGGGATGCTGTGGATGGGACCAGGGATGCTGCTAACTTCCTACCCTGTCCCACAGGACAGCCCTCACCGCAAAAGATGACCCAGCCCGAAAGGTCAGTGGTGCCGAGGTTGGGAAACCCTGGTCTATCCCAAGAGGGAGCTCCTGGCCACTTCCACAGGGTCCATTTCACTGGTCATCTGATTCAGGTGAGGGTCTGGGAAAGGACCATTTGTAGAGGTGACCTATAACCTGCTTTGCTTCTCAAATCCACCTCCTCCTCTCCGGACTCCTGAGTGTTAACGACGCACCTTGCACAAGTCAGCACGAATAAGCGCACCGCTGTCTGTAGGATGATGGCTGCGTTGGCCTCGAGTATCCCTCCCCTCCCGCCCCCTACCCCAGCGTCTTCTAGGGCAGCCCGGGTTTGTCCAAGGAATTCTACAGAGGCAAGCACGTAGGAGAGGTTCACTAATTGCTTGCTGATGGATTAACACCCAAACAAAGCGTGTTTCTGCCTTACTTGCCACCAGCACGTATCCCAAGAGGGGAAAGGAAGTACCCATGGGCCCCACCTCTCCAGCGAGTGTAAGAAATCCGTCATGCAGGTCCTGAACATCGAGTCGGCCACGTTCAAGGCTCCGCACACCACCCCGAGCATGATATCCGGCTTCTCGGCCTGGGAGAGACTCTGCACGTCAGTATCCACAGTGACCAAAGCCACGGGGAGCCAGGAGGGCTCCAGGACCCCCGGGGGAGACACGTGCAGCTCCCCACCTGCACTTTCTCGGCGATGAGATTATCCAACCAGCTGGTGTCAATGTCGTTGTTCTGGAAGCTCTCGGTCTCCAGGAGGTTGGTGAGATATTCCACGGTGGTCCTGAAGTCGCCCCGGATGGAGAGTTCCTTCAGAGCCACCACCATGTTCCTTGAGGGGAAGGCACACGGATTGTTTTCCCACTTAACGTACACGTCATCAGAGTTCTAGAGTGGTTTCCAGTGAGTCAGAACCACACAGAAGTTTAGGGAGGGCCCTGAGTCAGACGGCTTGGGGCAATGTCAGCTCCAGCATTGACTGGTACAGCAAATCTTGGGCCAGTGGCTTAAATGCCTGGGCCTCAGTTTCCTCAACTGGAAGATGGGGGAATAACCCTGCCTTCACACAGATGCTTGGGGATTAAAATGAGACAGTCTGTATAAAGCACATGGTCACTGATCAATAAACCTTAACTGCTATGAAATGATTTATTACAGTGATTATAATTGTTATTAACCATGCCAGTTGCTCTGACTCCCTCTCCCGCTGCACCTACCAAAATCCCCCAGTGTCCCAAGAACGAGCCGCTCTTTACCTGTCCACACAGCTGTCCGGTATGCCTGGGTTGCACGAGTAGGTGGCTAACACCAGTGCCCCCCTCTGGGCGTGGCGGTCACCAGCCCACACGTGCTTGGCTGTAACCACCTCCAGTTTCCCAGAGGGGCTGCCCCCCCCCCCAAACAGGGTGTCCAGTCCAAAGGGCAGAAACCTCCGCTCTCCATGAAATAATAGGGAGAGAGTTATGGGGAAAGGCACCAGAGGAAGAGGGGGCATAGGAACCCTTCCTGGGAGAGGAGAGCTTCCACACCAGTTACGATACTCCTGCATGCTGCCAGCAGGTGTGACAAAGGGGCCACGAGACCCCAGCGGGAGGGTGAGAAAATGAAGACGCAGTGAGGTTAAATGAGGGTGTCAAATAGGCTACTGCAAGTTGGGTGTGGGACCCGAACCTGCATCTACAGGCTGAGTCACTGGATTCAAAGGTGACCAACTTGTCCCGTTTGGCTCAGGACTTCCCCAGCTTTAGCGCTGAGAAATCCCACATCCCGGGAAACGCTCAGTCCTGGGAAAACAGGGACAGTTGATCCCCCTCTTGGACACTGACAGCAATAAGAGCTGGAATTTTTCCTTCCTATTCTGCTGAAGTGATCACTGGCCACTCACAGTGTGGGACAAGACACAGGTCCCTTCACTCAGAGACAGCTGGGCTGGCTGACCACCATCCCACCTTTTATTCATCCTTATTTGCTCCAAGCGTCTCAATTTTTCACTGATTAAGATGAATTATTCAAAGCTGGCAAAGAAACTCTCTCCCTCAAAGCAGCAAACGCCATTTAATTCATGGCTAAGTGCCCCAGCCCAGACAGATTTAAACGCTTTGCAAATGAAATGTCTTTCACTCTAAAAGACACCTCCACAAGAATGTTTAATTTTACAAACTGAACTGGTGTTTACCTTTTTGTTCCCAGGTCAAGGCAGGAGAAATGTTAAGATGAGGGGGTTTGGATCGCTAATTTTTAGGGAAATGCAAATCAAAACTACAGTGAGGTACCACTAATCAAAACTACAGTGAGGTACCACCTCACATGGGTCAGAATGGCCATCATTAAACAGTCTACAAATAAGAAATGCTAGAGAGGGTGTGGAGAAAAGGGAAACCCTTCTACACTGTTGGTGGGAATGTAAGTTGGTGCAGCCACTGTGGAAAACAGTATGGAGGTTCCTCAGAAAACTAAAAATAAAATTACTATAAGATCTAGCAATCCCACTCCCGGGCATATATCTGGACAAAACTCCAATTTAAAAAGATACATGGGGCTTCCCTTGTGGCGCAGTGGTTGAGAGTCCGCCTGCTGATGCAGGGGACACGGGTTCGTGCCCCGGTCCGGGAAGATCCCACATGGGCCCGTGAGCCATGGCCGCTGAGCCTGCGCGTCCGGAGCCTGTGCTCCGCAACGGGAGAGGCCACAACAGTGAGAGGCCCGCGTACCGCAAAAAAAAATAATAATAAAATACAATAAAATAAAATAGGATCTGCTCCCCATCTCCTAAAGTGCTGCTACATCTGAAGCAGCAGGTTAATTTTTAGTTTCTCAAAGGGAGGGAGGGAGGGAAGGAAGGGAGGGAGGGAAGGAAGGGAGGGAGGGAAGGAAGGGAGGCAGGGATACTGACGAAATGGCCTCTTCCCGGTTCTCTCCCCAGGAGAAGCAGTGCCCAAACTGGGAATCGGCAAATTCATGTAAGCCTCCAGTGGCAGCCACGCTGAAATAACCCCACACGTTCTTGCTGCTGCGGAAATTCAACTCCTGGACCGTTCCAGAGCTCGGCTTAAACCCCTGGAGCCCAGAACAGAAAAAGCAAAATGGAAGAAATAGTTACTCCAGATATATTTTCATCAGAATTAAATCCTAGGAAAACCCAAGAGCCCCGCCCCCCCACACCCAAGAGCTTAGCGTGACGAATAAAACACTAATACTTCTCACTAGGGGTGCAGGTGTTTCCAGGTGAGCACGTCAATGTGTGTCATTTTTACTTAAAAAAAAAAAAAAAAGTCAAAAAACCACCACCAAGTGGGACCGGTGATCACTGATGGAGCTGAGCGAAGGTACATACTGATTTTAAATGTTTGCCATTGTTGATAATAAAAAGTGTAAATAAAAGAGGAGTTGGCGGGATTTCCCTAGTGGTCCAGTGGTTAAGACTCCATGCTTCCACTGCGGGGGCCACGGGTTCAATCCCTGGTCGGGAAGCTAAGATCCCACATGCTGTGCAGCGCAGCCAAAAAAAAAAAGAGGAGTTGGATTTCCAATTCCAGATTATGAAAATTTCAGCAGGTAAGGAAATCCAGGGTTAGCCCTTGCTGATGCTAACACACACATAATTCCCTTTGCGGGGATGACCCATCCCCTTCTGAGTATAACTGTGGTAAAGGGAGGGGTGGGTTGGATCCTCTTGCTGGGATTAGAACCCTTGAAGTTGTGATGGAGGCATTCGTTTTGGCAGACATGCCTGGATGCAAGAGATGGAAAGTTCCAGGTGCCTGGGCTATTTCTACACGTGATCCTCCATCCTCCCAGGCACCTGTGAACAAGGCATCAACCCTCTGAAAATTTCCCCTTTTGCTTGTCCACCATCAGAACTGACTGTTGGCCTGTAGCCAAAGATCCCAAACTAATACAGTCACCATAGTTTAAAATTCTTTCATTAAAAAGGTGGGGGTGGGGTGGGAGGACTTCCCTGGTGGCGCAGTGGTTAAGAATTCGCCTGCCAATGCAGGGGACACGGGTTCGAACCCTGGTCCGGGAAGATCCCACATGCCACAGAGCAACTAAGCCCGTGCGCCACAACTACTGAGCCTGTGCTCTAGAGCCCACGTGCCACAACTACTGAAGCCCGCGAGCCTAGAGACCGTGCTCTGCCACAAGAGAAGCCACCACAATGAGAAGCCCGCGCACCGCAACGAAGAGTAGCCCCCGCTCTCCACAACTAGAGGAAGCCCAGGCACAACAACGAAGATCCAATGCAGCCGAAAATAAATAAATAAATTTATTTACCAGAAAAAAAAAGGTGTGGGGGGGGTAAAAATAAAAAAACCCAAACCTCTCTTATCCCAAATTTCTTTTTTTTTTTTTTTCCCCGAATTTCTTAAATGTAGTTATTAAACAACTAAATTGTGGTAGGTTATGGAGATTATGTGACCATCAACTGTCAGTAAGCATGTAAACTTGATAGATGCCAGCTGGTTGGTATTTTAAGGCACAAGTAGGAACAAGTCACATAGGGACTCCTTAGAATGAACCAGATTGTATGTTGCAGCAAAAAGTTCATGGGGCCAGAAATCCAAGGGCCTGTGCTCTAAACCTGGCTGTTTGTCCCAAAGATGGACGTGATCTATAAAGTCCACCAGTGGGCCTTGGCCATGGCCTCACCAAGTCCCGGGTGTGAAGGTGGTCACCCCAACCTCCGAGCTGTAATGTGGGGTCACAAAGCCCAGCGGCAGGGCTGTCATGTAACTGACATATGAAGGCATCTGCCTGGTGCCTGGGACACATCACATGTGGATAAACTGTGGCATGTCCCTTCCCGCATCCCTGCGTCCCCACCTATAAACTGTGAACCTGGGTGTCTCAACAGGCTAAGGTTCGGGGTCTGCCACACGCTGAGAGGTCGGAGATGGTGGAAACTCAGGGCCCTCAGACTTGCCTCATCTGGGTTTTCGCTGGTGATTCTGGCCGCAATGACGTGGCCTCGGGCGATGGGAGGGTTGGAAGGGGTCTCAAAAGAAATGGGCGTCACCCCCCATGGGGACTCTCCATAGAGAAGCCGGATATCCTTCAGCCGGTGCAGAGGCACGCCCATGGCGATCTGAAATCAAGAAATCCATCCCAAAGGAGGGTCAGTCCCCAAACGTGGAGGCCAGTGCTAGAGGCGATGCAGGTGGTGGTAGGGGGTGAATGATTTCGGATATACTGAGCTCCTCCTGTGCCCACCAGACCGGGCGACATGGTGGCAGGAGAGGCACGGAGAGAGAAAGACAGATGGCTTGACCCTGTCCCCAAGGAGTGAACTGTGTCGCTGGGAAAAGAAGCGACAGTCACAGAACAACATCGCAAGCATCAAATAAAAGTTACAGATCCTGAGCGCTGTGGAAGGAGTGGGGGAATGGTGGTGTCCAGCTGCAGAGTCAAAGAAGGTTTCGTGAAGGACACAGGGAAAGCTGGGCTGGAGGACCGAGTGAAAAACAGACAGTGACGGACACCAGGTGAACCAAAAGATCAAACTGAATCTGCTGGGTCTTTGGATGTGACACACTAAAAGGGACCCAATGGCACCTGTGTAATATCCTGCCAAAGTGTTTAAGTGACTTCCAGCAGGAAGAAATGACCAGGCAAATCCAAATGGAAGGACATTCTGCCTGAACACTTCACAAATGTCAACATCCAGGACAAAAAAATAAGACTGGGGAACGGTTCCAGATTAAAGAGATTAGGAGACATGAAAATGGAAAGGGATGTATGGGTCCTGGATTGGATCCTGGACTTGAAAAACAAAGGACAACAACAAATTATTGGGACAACAGGGAAAACTTTCATGTAGACAGTAACATTAGATAGGTAAGTGGAGGGCGTCAAAGCTCTATTTCTGGAGTGGGGCGATCCTATCACGGTCTTATTCCCAGGAGGTTCTCATCTGAAAGAGTTAGAGGCAAAGCGGCATGAAGTTCAAGCCAAAACATCTCTCAAAAGGTTGAGCGAAGAAAAAACAAAAATTATACAAAAACACAAATAGAGAGAGAGGAAGCAAATGTGGTCAGATGCTAACAAGCGGTGGACCGAGGTGCAGGGTATGGGTGTTAATTGTATTATTTTTGCAACTTTTCTGGAATTTTTCAAACTGAAAAAAATAAACAAAATAAAAAACGGAATAAAAACTCTGGGAGGATTTTTAAGAAATTAAAGTTAAATTCTAATTAAATCAAAGTAAAACTATCAGTTAATTAAATTTAATGCAAGAGTTCCTAACTCTGGGTGACATGTTCTTAGCAGGGGTGAGCCCAAGAGGGCAAACATTTGTTCTTGGGGGTGAAAATAATCTTACTCTTTCTATGTACAGGCAGACCTTGGAGATATTGGGGGTTCAATTCCGACCACCACAATAAAGCGACTATTGCAACAAAGCAAGTCACACACATTTTTTGGATTCCCAGCACATATAAAAGTTCCATTTACACTATACTGTAGTCTATTCAGTGTGCGATAGCAGTATGTCTGAAAGAACAATGTGCGTACCTTAAATAAAAAATACTTTATTGCTAAAAAATGCTAATCATCACCTGAGCCTTCAGAGAGTCTTAATCTTTTTGCTAGTGGAGGGTTTGAAATATTGCAAGAATTAGCAAAATGTGACACGGACACAAAACAAACAAACGCTGCTGGAAAAATGGCACCATTATAACTTGCTCGACACAGGTTGCCACAAATCTTCAATTTGTAAAAAACAAACAAAAAATGCAATAAAGCAAAGTGCAATAAAACAAGGTATGCCTGTATAACGCACAGCTACATCTACAGTATCCAAACCGATATACAGGATATCTGTGATATTAACACTTCATAGGGGAGAAATTAGGGGCGGAAATGTCTAAAAGGGCTCCATGAGGAGGCTGTGATGAAAAAAAGGTCTGTGAATGGGTACTGGGGAGGTCTACAAATGCTCCCAAATTGTATAAAACAGATTTTTCCAGGGTGACGGGCCATGGCTTTTGCCAGTTTCTCCAAGGGCTGTATGGCCAGACGAAGGTGACAAACCACTGCATGGCTCTCCGTGCTACCCACACATTAAAACAGTCCCTCCCCAGGACACCAGCCAAGAGACGAGCAGGGAGGTCTAATCTGAGCAGGACCGGGGATCCCCACTCTGGGCAGAAGAAGCCCCAGGGTTCGGAGCCCATTTCCTTGCCTGTAGCTGGGCGGCCGGCAGGTTGACATCGGCGATCATTTCCGTGCAGGGATGTTCCACCTGCAGGCGGGGATTCAGCTCCAAGAAGTGGAAGCTGCCATCCTGGCTGTAGAGGTATTCAACGGTCCCCGCACTCACGTAGCCCACGGTCTTGGCCAGGCGCACGGCACACTGCAGAGAGACGGAGGTGGGCGAGGGGCTTCCAGCGGTTTTCTCGGGGAAAACGTACTAGCTCCCTCACTAAAGGCAGGCTGAGGACCTGCTGTGTGTAAACTGCCTTGGGACCTCTGAGATCGTACTCCAGTAACCCCGTGTGAGGCTGAAATCATCTCCACGATGGGCCCCCCCACGCCAATTGGTCTCCTCTTGGACACCCACCCCACTTTGGCAACTTGGACTCTTCAGAGCTCTTGATGGTTCTGAGCTGAGATGCGTCCCCCCGAACTCCCCAGAGCCCACCTGCTCCATGATCTCGAACACGGCTGGCGTGGCAATGGTGGCCGGCGCCTCCTCTATGATCTTCTGATGCCTCCGCTGGATGGAACAGTCGCGCCCAAACAAGGACACGGCGTTCCCATACTGGTCAGCGAGGAGCTGGACCTCCAGGTGATGGGCGTGCTGGGCCAGCTTCATGAGAAAGACTGGGGAGCCGGGGATCTCGCTCTGCACCTGGGGGGACGGCAGGGTGGCTGGCTCCTCCCTGGGGAAGCAGGACTGGAGCAGGAAGTTCTCCAAAGGGGGCGCAAAACGATGGCAGGGATGCCCGCGGTTTTGCCGATCTTTCAGTTTTACCCCCATCAAAGACATTACATTCTCGTGGTTTTTAAGTCAAATATGTGAAAATACATAACGCAGAAACTGAAATTCTCCTGCAACAACATCTCCTAAGGATAATATGCTGTTAAGAGTTGGGTACAAATTGGTTTTCTTCTATGCGTACGGAGAAAATGTTTCTTGAAACAAAAATAGAACCAAAACACACTACTCTGTAGGCTTCTCTTCCTCCCACTTAATTCACTCTCTCAGCTAGCTCTCCTCGGTGGAACCTACAGACCGACTTACTCCATACTTTTAACATCTGACAGGCATTGTCTCATAGGCATGCTGTCCAGAGACCCTTAAAAATGAGGTAAAAATAAGTGTTCACATGGAATTATTTCTAAGACAAATTCTTTGTAAGAGCAAGTTGCAATAACACACGGGATGATCCCACCTATGTGAAAAATAATAAAACAGAATTATATGAAGGTCTATGTAAAAGTCTATACTACAGTAAAAGTACTGGAAAGAAACCCAGTGGCTAACAGGGGTTACATCTGAGAAGGGGCAAGGGGTTGAGAGGTGATGTTGCGAAAGGGACCTTTCCTTTTTTATCCGTAACGTATTACTGAATTGCCTGAATGTTGACACCGAGAATATTTTCATATTGCACTCACGTAATTAAAAAAAGGAAGCTTGGGGGAGGCTCTGCATGCAGTTGGGGAACAGGGGGGTATATGGGAACTCTGTCCTTTCCATTTAATTTTGCTGTGAATTAAAAACTACCCTAAAGAGTAAAGCCTGTTTTTTAAAAAAGAAAGAAAAAAGCTTTAAAATCTGTACAACCCCTAAATGCAAGGTAGGATCCAGGACTGGATCCTGAAACAGAAAGGGGATATTAGTGGGGAGAAGTGGGGTGGTTCAAATCAAGTCTGGAGTTCACTTAATAGACATGGATTAATGAAATTAATCTCTTAGTTGTGACAATCATGGTACCGTTACAAAAGATGTTAACAATAGGGGAAAGGAGGTGAAGGGTAGATGGGGACTCTGTACTGCTGTTGCAACTTTCCCGAAAACATAAATTCTTCCCCCCAAAATACTCCCAAACCAGTACACCCCAATAGGGACATGTGGTAGTGAAACCACTACTTTATATAATACTCACACATGGCCCACAGCTGTATAAACGGTAAACCTTTAGAGAACGCAATTTACTGGTATGTATTTGTCAGTGCATGTAAAGTACATGCTATTTAACTAAATCCTTCTTCCCCCTTTCTTACGGTCTTTACCCAAGAAAATAATTCAGAAGAAGAAAAAAAAGCTAAATATTATTTATAGTATTAAATACCATATTATACTAGAGTGGAACTGTGCATAATGATGAAAGCAAGCTTCACATTTCACAAAAAAGGAAAGGTTTGATAAATGAGACAATGGCCACACAGGGAATGCTGTGCAATCGTCAGAATAACTCTAAGGACTGGACAGGGTAAAACTGTTTATGATCCACAATTTGAAATTTTTTAAACGTAGAACAAAATATTGTGTAGGCCAAAGACAACTCTTTAAAATATACATGTGAATATTTTGTAATAACCTATAATAGGAAACAATGTGAAAAAGAAGAGATACGTATGTATAACTGAATCACTTCGCTGTACACCTGAAACATCGTACATCACTATACTTCAATAAAAAACTAAAAATTTAAAAAATAAAATAAATTAAATATACACGTGAGCAAGGTCTACAAGAAAGCCTAGAAATATTAAAATAGTTGGGTTCAGACGGGAAGATTACCCGTATAAATTTTTATAAACATTGCCAACAATGGGCATAACGGGTTTTTCTTTAATCTATAGTTAGGTGACCTTTTAAAAAAATTTTTAATTGAAGTATAGTTGATTTACTATATCATGTATGTTTCAAGTGTACAGCACAGCAATTCAGTGTTTTTTATGTTTTTAATTTTATTTTTGGCTGCATTGGGTCTTCGTTGATGCGCACAGACTCTCTCTAGCTGTGGCGAGCGGGGGCTACTCGTTGTGGTGCGCGGGCTTCTCATTGCGGTGACCTCTATTGTTCTGGAGAACGGGCTCTAGGTGCACGGGCTTCAGTAGTTGTGGCGCACAGGCTTAGTTGCTCCGCGGCATTTGGGATCTTCCCGGACCAGGGCTTGAACCCGTGTCCCCTGCATTGGCAGGTGGATTCTTAACCACTGTGCCACCAGAGAAGCCCAACTCAGTTTTATATATACATTTTTTTCTTTTTCAGATTCTTTTCCCTTATAGGTTATTACATAATATTAAGTATAGTTCCCATGCTATACAGCAGGCCCTTGTTGGTTATCTATTTTATACGTAGTAGTGTGTATATGTTAATCGCAGGCTCCTAATTTATCCCTTCCCCCACCCCCTGCGTATAATGTTTTAAAAGTGGAAAACCAGCTACAAATAAGTAAATATACGATTCGTTCAGACAATAAAAATCAATTGTCTAGAAATGTTAGAAATACTGAAACTGCTAAAATGTACAAACTATCCCATCTCTCGATAGACAAATATTGACACAAACAGATATTCTCACAAACAGATACCTCTGAAATCCTTTAGAGACACACCGGTTCATAGAATCAAACCATCTTAAGGAAACAGTGTACAGATCAACAAAAACCTCGGACTTCTGCGAGTCAAAATGTATACATTTGTTTTGCAACACAACACAGCAATATTGCAGCTCCCGCAAGTGTCCTCTTAATTGTGACACAGTAATGTTAGTGGAAAGAATCTGGTGGCCACCAACTGAATAAACACAATTCCCAAAGACACATGGAAAAATACGCAGCGCGAACAGCTCACTTGTCTGAAAAGTATTGGGAAGTCCTCAGCAGTCTCCACCTTCCGGATGCCTTTCCCTCCACCGCCTTCAGAAGCTTTGATCATCAAGGGAAAACCAATTTTTTCTGCTGCCTGGGGGCAAAGGACAAACAGACCACTTTAGAGGTTTCCGCTGCTACCAGGATGATGAGAAGGTTCTGGCATCTGATCCCCCCAGGAGTGTTTACCTCCAAGCCCTCATCGACATCTTTCACGCAACCATCGTTGTAAATGTACTCTGGGACGCTGATCCTTTGCCCCTGCTGCAGACTATCTTCTGTCCACTCCACCGTCAGACCTGGAGGGTCACAAAGAAAACGGAATCTTCCCCAAAAGAGCATAGACATGACACAGAAACACAGGGCCTCTTCCCACCAAAGCCACTCTAGACCTGGCCTCTGGACCAGCAGAATTCAGACACAGCCCTTCAGCTTCCTGCAGTGGATTTTAATTTCCTTAAGGACTGACTCAACCCTGAATGGGAAACCAAGCTTAAGAAAATTCAGACTGAGTCTACCAAGAACAGCCATATTAACCTGAATCCAAAAAAATCCCAACTCCAGCTCTACCCTATGGAGTCATTCGTATGTGAATCATTACTTTCCAAAACCCTGTGAAGATTAAAAAACAAAAACAGAAACAAACTTTTCATCCTAAATTTAAAATTCAATCTTTGGAGGAAAAAAATCAAACTGAATAAGAAACTCTTGAGATGTTTTTCCTGTTAATTTTTTTAATTTATCCTAGAAATTCCACTTTTAGGAATTTATCCTAAGGACGTGATTAAAATGAACATAGAGAGTTAGGTACAGGACTATCAAAGCTTGTAATATTTTCAAAATTAGAAAAAAATTCGTCGGAAACAACCTAAATGTATAGCTATAGAGGATTGTTAAGTCAATTATGGTACATCTGTATAATATAGTCCTATGCAGGCATTTTAAATGTTGTAAAGTGTATTTACTGACATAGAAAGATTAGTGAGAAAAAACAAGTCACAAACTATTAAATGTAAGAGCTCTGGTTTTTTAAAGGATGTGCCTAGAAAAAAGGCTGGAACAATATAACAAATGATCAAAACCGGGTCAGTCGATTATAAAGGATTTCTATTTCTTTTTCTGTACTTCTCCTAGTTTCTAAGTTGTCTATAATGACATAGGACCACTTTCATGATCATTTAAAAATTTTTTAATGAAAGAATTAAAAAACTATACTCCTGTCACCCCCTCTGCTCACATTAGCAAGATTGGGCCCAGGAGTTCCCCCGACGTGAGGTTCAGGGTCCCTTACCGCTTCCGCTCCAGGGCAGCGTTGGGATCTGCAGCGTCTGGGCCACGATGGTGGAGGCGATCTTGTCTCCCACTGCCCACATGGCCTCGCTGGGAGGGCCTGAGGGATTGGGGCAAAGGGGAAGGCAGACTCAAGTCAGCCACAAGGCCCTGGAAGCCAGGTGCCAACCAGGTGCACAAAGAAAAGTCCCCAAGTCCCAGCTTCCAAGGATTTAACATCAAGTTGGGGAAGAAAAAAATCTATTAGTCTGCTACTTTACCAGTCAACTTTCAATACATGTGGATTGTAAACATGATTTACAACCTAAGCTCTGTGGCCTATACAAAGTTCACTAGCAAAAAGCTAGACCAAGGGGGCAAGCCAGCACCTCAAAACACTAGACCACGCAAAGTTTTTCTATAACGAGCCATAAGCAATACATAAATGAATGGGCAGGGCCGTGTTTCAATAAAACTTTATTTACAAAAGCAGGCAGTAGGCCAGATTTGGCCTGGGCTGTAGTTGGCCGGCTCTGGGGCTGGACCATCAATCTCCAGAATTAAACATGAGCGATAATGAGAGTCCCATGGGACAGCCAATCAGAGGTCATGGACAAAGAATACATCAGCGAGCACAGGTCACCAGGCAGACCCTTAGGTGAATATCAGGTATTGACTTAGCACCAAGCTGCTTTATATGCGAGTCTGGGCTGTGGGCCCAGAGATAAGGAGCAGTGATAGGGATTTATTGGGGATGGTAAATGATTCCCATCACACGTAAGAGATAGTGTAACTGAGCAAAGTTTACAAATGTCAAATCCAAATCCTGAAACAAACAGATGCCATAGACAATAAGTATCATTTTACCTAATAAGTAGTAGAGATGATAGGCTCTGGTCCCAAGGGGTGAGGGCATTCCAAAGGTCTGAGAACAGCCCAAGAAAAGGTGTGGCCTTATCAGAAAGGTTTCCAAACCTAGTTAGAAATCTGAACATGACTGGCATCTCAGTGCCAACAGGAACAGCAGCAGAGGGTTCTGCTTGCCCGGCATTATTCTGCTGTGGTAACCATGGTAATAGCTCCTATTTCCCTGGGCTGGCCGACCTATCCACGTGACCTCCCACCCCTGGATTCATTTGCTCCTGACCATGAAAGTGTGATGTGGGGATATCAACCTGGTCCCCTCCTTACAGGGCTGTATTAAAGAGAATCTGACCCACCGAGCATCCCATCAACACCCCAATTCCCACGCATCTGATGGAGGCGCACTCTACCTAAGAAAGCAATCTCGTGCTTGTGCAGGAGCTCCGGAAGTTTGGGGTTTTCAGAAGCATGGCCCCAGCCAGCCCACACCGCCTGCAAACACAAAGAGGCATGAACAAAGGTCTTTCTTCAAGAACCCGCCTCCCATCACACCCCAGAAGCTCTTTGCTGGGTCACATCAGCCTGGGATTTCAGGGTCTCCTAGGACCCAGCTCCTCCATCCCTTCCAAACTGCGGAATCAGGTTGCTCCAGAGCTCAGGGCATCACCCCCGCCGTGGGTAGACTGGGGTGTCCCATCTGACTTACCTGCACGGGGATCCTCTTGGCAATGTCCACAATCAGCTCCACGTTGGCATAATTGTTGTTGTTGGGCCCTCCTGGGACGGGGACGTACTGATCTGCCATCTTGATATACTCTGGGATTAAACAGGAGAGAAAAGAAAAGAAGGGCTGGGCTTTCCTGGTGGCACAGTGGTTGAGAGTCCGCCTGCCGATGCAGGGGACACGGGTTCGTGCCCCGGTCTGGGAGGATCCCACATGCCTTGGAGCGGCTGGGCCCGTGAGCCATGGCCGCTGAGCCTGCGCGTCCGGAACCTGTGCTCCGCAACGGGAGAGGCCACAACAGTGAGAGGCCCGCGTACCCCAAAACAACAAAACAAAACAAAAAAAAAACACATAACAAAATTTACCATCTAATCATTTTTGAAGTGTACAGCTCAGTACTGTCGAGTATTCACATTGTTGTGAAACACATCTCCAGAACTTTTTCATCTCACGCATCTCAAACTCGATAGCCATAAAATGACAATTCCCCATCCCCCTCCCCGAAGCCCCTGGCAACCACCATTCTACTTTCTGTCTCTATGAATCTAACTACTCTCGGTGCCCCATATAAGTGGAATCATAGAGCATTTGACTGGCTTATTTCACTGAGCATAATATCCTCAAGGTTCATCCCTGCTGTAACATGAGACAGGATTTCCTTCCTTTTCAAAGCTGAATACAATACAATGTTTTGATTTAAAAATATTCATGTTCTTTAAAACCAGAATCCCACTTCTAGAAATACGTTCTAAGAAAACACTCATCGACGAGGCCAAAGACTGATGTAAGAGGGTGTTCACGGGGCAGTGTTTTGAACTGTGAAAAGCTAGACTCAATCAAAAGTCGGGAGTTGGTACATCTGTACTATGAAATTCTTGAAGACCTGAAAAGAAATGATGTCGAACTTTATGTACAGACTTGGAAAGAAACTCGAGAGCCATGCTTCCTTCGGGGCCCGCCGGCCTCTGATGTTTACCCAACACGTTGTGCTGGCGACTGGAGAGGCCCCAGAGATAATAAAGCGAGAAGTCAGACCATGACCCTCTCCTCGCTGAATTCTACTATCATGTTGGAGAAGATAAACAAGAGACAGACATGATAACTACAGGGTGTGAACAGCACCGGGGCTCTCTGACAGCGCTGCCCAGGAGGACTATGAGACCCAAGTCGTGCGTGGAGGGGTGGAGACCTGCTGTACAAAGAGCTTCGGGGAAGCACTGCCAGCAGAAGGTCCAGAACATTCCAAGCCTCTGCAACAGGAAAGAGCGAGGCCAAAGCTGACGAGGCCAGTGTGACTGGGGCCCAGGGATGGATGTCTAGAGGCGGGAGATGGGGGTCCAGGAGGCCAGCAGTGGCCAAGTCATGTGGGCCTTAATTGGCCTGAGCGAGATTCTGGAATTTTAGCCTGAGCACGATGGGAGACCCGACAGCCTAAGGCTGTGGACTCAGCCCAGTGTTTCAAGCCCACCTGCATCACATACTGGTTGCATGACCCCGGGCAAGTGAGTTATACGCTCATGCCTCGATTATCTCATCTGTAAAATGGGGCTAACAAGGAAACCTGTCCTCACTGTAGTGAGCAAAAAGGAGGCCACGTCTGTGCAGAGCAGAGCCGAGGGCCTGAACTCTGGGGAGGCTCGGGGGGCTGAGGTAGCTGGTGCTGGACACAGGAGGGGGCTGATGGGACCTGAGCTGTGTTTTTAAAAGATCTGTTTGGCTGCTGTGTGCAGGGTCTGTAAAGGGATACAATTGTTCAGGGAAAAAAGCGAATTGTCCAATAGTTATTAACAGAATGATCAATGGTAATAGACATGGAGAGGTAAAGAAATAGAAAAATGAAGGAATGACTGAAAAACAGTACATACAAGTGCAAGAAGAAAACATATGGAGGAAGAAACACCAACCTACTGTAACGTTTCTCAAAGGCGAGATTTCCGCTTTGCATGTTAACCACTTGCATTTTTATAAGACATATGGGTCACTCTTGTTGTCAGCAGAAATTTCAATTAAATAAAGAAAGGGGAAACAAATACGAGCTCAGGAGAGGTCCCCTGCGATGCTGTTTGGGGTCCAGGATGGACTTGGCCCAGGTGGGGTGAAGGAGGTGAGCGCAGGTAAGGACGCGGGGACGTGGCAGAGGGGAAGAAAGTCAGGGCCCAAGTATCAATACCTGCGTTGGCTTTGAGGTCCTCGGGGGTTACCAAGACTACAAACCGGATGGCCCGCTCGTTTCGGAACATCTCATAGGCCCACCTGCGGATGGAGCGCATGCATTTCACGGCGGCGATACCATTGTTGGCGATGAGCACCTGGACAGGGGAAAACGAGGGAGGGGCCCGAGCTGCACATCTACCTGCGCTGGAGGCCGAGTGCTGCCCCAGGGTTCATCTCACCTCTGTGAGCCTCCCATGGCCCCTCTTCGTAGTTCTATGGCACTCAGCCCAGCACAGAGCAGGTACTTAAAGTCTGCATGAATGGATGACCCAATGGATGGATGGTGGAATGCATGATGGGAGGATGGATGACCAGGTGGATGGACGGATGGATTAATGAGTGTTGATTCCTCTGTTTGGCACCATCATGTTCATGTAACATTTTTTGAGTGTTTAGCATGTACCAAGCTACAGTACAGTGTATTTCACCGGCACCATTTCATTTCAACCTCACAACAGCCCTTTGAAAGAGGTTGTATTTGTCTCACTATTTGGGGTTAAAGACATTAAAATCCAGAGGAGTTAAGGCACTTGCCCAAGATCCAACAGCTAGTAAGTGGCAGAGCTGGCACTCGTGGGCCCTCCACAGTATGACCTATGCTCTGAACTGTCCTGGTGACTGCTTCTGTGTCCAGAAGGTTAAAGGTCCCAGATTTGGGAAGGAAGAAAAAAAGTGAGGCTGGCTGTCCCCAGCAACAGAGGGGTCCTAGTTTCAGTTCTCACTGTGTTGTGAACTTGCTGTGTGGCCTTAGGCAGATCCCTTCCCACTCTGTGCTTCGTCTTCATATGAGGAGCTCAGACTGGTAAACCTCCTGGTTTGGTCTCTATAAAACCAAGCTCTAGTTTTCTTGTTAAAAAAAAAAAAATTAGGTGTATAGGTTCAAAGCTCCAACTTCTGTACCAAGTCCATAATTTTAAGGGCCTTCCATCTCTGACTAATCTTCATGATGGCCCCGAAGGACAAGTCCCACTGGAGATTTGGGATGTGATCGCCTCTATTTTACAGAAGGGAATGCGAGCCCAGACATCACATCCCGCGAGTGGCCACCGTAGTTTTTGCGTTCCTTTTCGCCTTTCAAAAATGCCTCCCATGAGTGATGACAGAACGGCTGGGCTATGCTTCCTCAACCTAATTATCAGATCAAGGCTTTGGGGTGGGGCGGGTGGGGGTCGTGTGGGTGTGTGCATTTTCAGCCAGGGAGACTGGTGGCAGCCAGGTTGGGGAACCTATATGAGTCTCTGTGGCTCAATGCTGTACTTAGGATGCTGGGGTGAGGGCATGGGCTCTGGTTTCAAATTCCAGCTCCGCCACTGATTAGCTGTGAGACCCAGGCAAGCCGCTTCCCCTGTCTGGGCCTCAGTTTCCTCATCTGTAAAGTAATACCCACTGACAACGCTGTGGGGATGGTTCAATGAGACACAACAATGTAAGCAGTTAACAGGATGCCTGGCCCAGAGGAGACCCTCAATCAATGGTAGCTGGCGCCATTGTTGTTGTTGTTATCATTATTATTACCACCCTCAAATAAAATGGAAAAGCAAAAGGCCTTTCAGTCAAACTGAGCTGGGTTCAAGTCCTGACTTCAGCACTTACTACCTACGTGACTTTGGACAACCAATGTCAGATCCCTGAGCTCTAGCTTCTCCGTGAATACGATGGGAATGATCAAACAGCACGAGGTCAGGGCCTTTACCAGCTAGAACAGGAAACAGTGTGAAAAGCCTTCACAAACCACCAATTTTAGCTGTTTCCTTCCATCCCTGTCATTTTAGTATCTGGGTCTGCTCTCCTGTAAGGAGCTATACCCCTCGAGAGGGCAGGGCTGGGTTTTAGGCTCCCCTCCTAGAAACCCAGAAAGCAGCCCCCTGCACGAAGGGTCTTTGCCTCCCCACCCTTCTCAGAGGCCCCAGTCTCCTCCTCTGTGACATGGGGTCACGCACCTGTCACTTAAGCTGTCGTGAGGGTGAAAAGCTGATGAACCCCAGCGCCCAGCCCTTTGCAAGTGCTCACAAAGGGGCAGGACTTTTTCTCTGCAGCCTGAGGCTGGTTGGCCCACCTCACCCCACACCGAGTGCCGGGATCCCATCTGTACCTTCTCGATGACCCGATCCCCCCCAAAGCGCACGACGAACTCGGCAGGGGAAGCCACGGTAAAGTCTCTGTGCAGGTCCGGCTTCTTCTGTTCTCGGCCTCTTCTCGCCAGGTGGAGTCCGGACATGCTGGGCCTGCCAGGGAACAGGACTGACCCGTGAGCAAGCAGGTCTGGGATGCCCGGGGAGGGGGTCGGGCACCCGGCAGCTATGAAATGCACATCCACAGAGAAGCCAAAGCCCACCAGACCCCAGCTGCGCTGCAGTCCCTCTCCGGGGAGCCTGAAACACTTTACTAGGAGACTCGAGAGGTCAGATCACAAATGAAGTAGGAACGACCCCCTGACCTGCTCCAAGCTGCACGATCACATTTTTCATCTTAGAGTCATTCTTACTTTATATGCCCATAATTTAGGAGCTCAAATAATACAAAAAAGCTTAGAACAGGGGTGCAAGTTTATGATCGGGGAAGTTCCCACATTCTAATACTTTACACTTGTTCAACAGTTTGTATCTTTCATGTGCTTTTCTGTACGTGTATATCAAATTTTTTGAAAAAACTGAAAACAAAAAAATGTATAACAAATAGAGGGTCCTTGCCCCATCCCCCTCTAGAACCCCACCCCAGAGGAAATCACGTTTGACTCTTTCTGGCGTTTACACATCTCCACGGTTCTGAACAATGTGTGTACATTATCTCGTGAGTCATCCATTTAAGACACCATCCATCTATGAACTTCTTATCTTGACAGATGTGGAATTAGTGCTCTTAAGCAGCCATCCCATCTGCTCCCCTTTCCCCAACCTCTCAATACAGGTATACTGCAATTTGGTAAATTCAGTATTTGGTGTTTTATGAGTCTGGGATCATTATTCACAGGTGAGGGGCTGTGGTATACCAGATGTTCCTTTTTTTTTTTCCTGTAGTGATTTTTTTTCCTTGGCTTGGTTTTCCTTGCATCTGTTGCTAATTCATCTCACTCCTCAGCCTCTTAGTACACATAAGATAATTGATCAGTTCCATTGTTTTCCATGGACCACATCATTCCTGAAGGCCTCGACTCTCCTTTCATCCAGACGCTGTTCTCTAAACCCCTAGGCAACCATCAACTGGGACTTCCCTTCACTGGCATCCTTAGGATTCCCTTTGCATTTCCTTGGGGTTTGATCCTGAATGAGGGACCACATGGCTCCCTCTTTCTTGATGGACTCCCATGTTTTCCTGGGGTATATCTGCCAGTAGTTTCATCCAGTTAAAAAGATGGTACAATAGCAGGACACATGACAATAATGCCCCCAACATGCCTGTCTTAGCCTGGCTGCATAGGGTTCCCTTGCCACTATCACCTCGGAGACTCCTTTTGGCTCTCTCGGATCCCTTTTTTCTGTCCTCCGTGTCTTGCTCCTCTTTGGTTTACTCTCTTGTTTCAATGGAAGACATCCTTCAGTAGCTTTCTAAGAAAAGGTGTTCAGGGGAGTAAACGTTTTGTGGCCTTGCATGTTCTAAAACTGTCTTCCTCTGCCATCACATTGGACCCGATCATTTGGCTGTGCATGGAATTCTAAGAGGGAAAACCGTCTCCTTTAGAATTTTGGAAGCCTTATGTCACTGTTGTTGTGGCTTCCAAGAATGCTAGAACCAGAGCCATGATGATCCTTGATCCTTTTGTAGGTGACCTGTTTTTTCATAACCAGAAGCTTATAGGATCTTCTCTTTGCCCCAGTATTCTACAATTTTAGGGGATGATTTTAGTGATGCGCTGAGGTGTGTGCCTACTTCCATCAGTAAGGCTGGGAAGCTGTCAGGCTCCTTCAATCTAGAAACTGAGGTCTGGGAATTTATCTTCAAATATGTCCTTGGTGGGCTCCCCTGGTGGCGCAGTGGTTGAGACTCTGCCTGCCAATGCAGACGACACGGGTTCGTGCCCCGGTCCGGGAAGATCCCACATGCCGCAGAGCAGCTAAGCCCATGAGCCATGGCCGCTGAGGCTGCGCATCCAGAGCCTGTGCTCCGCAATGGGAGAGGCCACAACAGTGAGAAGCCCGCATACCGGAAAAAAAAAAAAAAATGTCCTTGGTGACTTCCCTGCCTCTTTTTTCTCCATTCTCTCCTATTACCTGGATGTTGAAATTCCTGGACTGCCCACTAGTTTATGTATTTTTCCCCTCTCCTATTTTCTCTCTCTTTTCTTCTACCTTCTGGGCGATTCCCTCAGCCTTATCTCCTAACTGTTCAGTGGAGTCTTTAACATCTAAGAGCTTGGTTTTGGTCTGTCAATATCCCCTTTTCTATACATCCTGTTCCTATGTGTATAATATCCTCCCTGCCCCCGATGAGGGTATTTATGATAGCTTCTCCAAGTTCTCTTCTCCTGATGTGGTTTCTGTGTCTCCCACGTTTCCTGTGTCCCCTTTGTTGGTATGTTTGGGGCCTGCCTTCCATCTCAGAAACTGCACCCAAATGTTTCATAAGCTGTGGTTGCTTCCTCATGACCAAGAGCAGGAACTAGAGGGCTGATGAGAAGTACTGAGCATGTGCTGGGGTCACTAGACCCTGACCTCAATGCAGGGTGATCTGGGAGGACTGTGTGTTGGGGAACCCCAAGTATTTTTAGAGTCATCCTCCCTGGCTGGTCCAATTCCCCCAGTAAGGAAAAGTTTTGGGGTCTTCTGCCTGGAGGATAAAGGTTGGCCAGGAGCCTAGGGACCAGGGGGAAGTGGGAGAAGTGTTGGGACAGGTCTGGGGGGCAGGGCAGCTTTCAGGATTCAGCACGCACACAGCACCCATCCTCCGGTTTGGGCTCCATAGTGCCCATCGGTCTCCAGCCCAAAGACCCTCTGCCTTTCCCTCTCCAGAGATCAAACCGCCTGCCTGCTACTGGGGTGGAAGTGGGAAGCTCCCAGCCACCTGGAGCAGATGAGGGGTCTGGGATTCTTTCACCCAATCCTTCTCATGTAGATGCTCCCAGACGCGGAGGCACCCAATGTTGCCAATCCCTGCGCCTTCTGGGGTACAGGTTCTCAGCTTCCCTCACTGCTGCCTTACGGCTCAGCCATCTTGGTTCTGCTCAGCCAGTGGCTGCTTGTTCTTCTGCTTTTCTGGCTTCCAAAATGTTGCTGCTAACTTCCCCTCCTGTTCTTCCAGGACCTGATGGGTTTCCAGCTCTTTAAGAAAATCTCTGTTGGGCTTCCCTGGTGGCGCAGTGGTTGGGAGTCCACCTGCCGATGCAGGGGACACGGGTTCATGCCCCAGTCCGGGAAGATCCCACATGCCGCAGAGCGGCTGGGCCCATGAGCCATGGTCGCTGAGCCTGTGCTCCGCCACGGAAGAGGCCGCGACAGTGAGAGGCCCGCGTATGGAAAAAAAAAAAAAAAAAAAAAGAAAATCTCTGCTGTCATTTGGTGGGGTTTTCACAGGTGCAGAATCAGGCATTCAGCCCACTCTCTCAACCCGGAAATGGGCTATTCAAGCAGGGAGATAGCCACCTGCCAAGCCACCTGCCAGGCATTAAGTTAGAGGTTCGCCACCCAGGGGTGCATCCAGCAACTGTGTCACCAGGCATTTTGGGAGGCTGGGGCTGAGTGGGTTTGGGGGCCAAAAGTTTTGGTGAAGAACTGATAGACCCGGGACTTCCCTGGTGGTCCAGTGGCTAAGACTCTGTGCTCCCAATGCAGGGGGCCTGGGTTCAATCCCTAGTCAGGGAACTAGATCCCACATGCTGCAACTAGGAGTTCGCATCCTGCAACAAAAGATCCCACACGCAGCAACGAAGATCCCATGTGCCGCAACTAAGACCCGGTGCAGCCAAATAAATAAATAAATATTTGGAAAAAAAAAAAGAACTGATAGACCCTAAGGAACACTGCCAGCACGTCACCGGGAAAAGCAAAGCTGGAAGCCAATAAGCCACTTTGGGGAGAGAAAGCCCAGTTTACAGATGGGCAAACTGAGGTCCCGTCAGGCAAAGGGAATCACCCAGCAAGTCAGCGGGACTGGGGCTCTTTCCATCACACCAGGAAATGTTGGGTGTGGGCATTTTCTGTTGTATAAAGTCTATCCATGCAGGACAGTTCCCCGTGGGAAAAGCCTTCTACAAACCTGCAGTCTGTCCCCCTCACCCCTGCCCCAACCCAAGCCCTGCCTATCAGAAACGAAAAAACGGACTTGTTGGCCAGGAAACAAAACCAGAAATGAATGACAGAAACCGATAATGATGCTATGCCACCACAGGATTTGTATTTTCAATTAAGACTGTCTCCGTTCAACAAGGCTTATGCATGTTGTCCAAAAGAACAAACAAATGAACAAATGATTTCCGGCCCCTGAACTGGCCTTCCTGCCTCCCACAAACTGCAAGCAGCTTTTCTTCTAAAACCTCCTAGGACTGAACTGCTGAAACGAAACAGGACTTAGCAAAGGACTCTGAAGGTCAATATGATCTTACAAATATGAACAGTGCTTTCATCATAATTACATTCCATTTACCAACAAGCAGTTCAGTTTGTTTTTAAGAACTTTCTTTCTTTCTTTCTTTCTTTTTTTGCGGTACGCGGGCCTCTCACTGTTGTGGTCTCTCCCGCTGCGGAGCACAGGCTCCAGACGCACAGGCTCAGCGGCATGTGGGATCTTCCCGGACCGGGGCACGAACCCGTGTCCCCTGCAACGGCAGGCGGACTCTCAACCACTGCGCCACCAGGGAAGCCCAAAAACTTTACTTTCTTTATTTCTTTAGAAAACAGGCATTCGGCCTGAGGGCCATCGTTTGCAGACCCCTGATCTAGGGAAACAGATACCAAAATGTTAACAGCAGCTTTCTCAAAGTGGTTGAATTATGGGTGGTTTCTGTTTTCTCCTCTTTGCCTATCTTTAAATCTTCTGCCACGATATATTATTTTCAGTCAGAAGAAAAAGCTATTAACTTTGTAATAGGGACGCTGAAAGCCATGGTCATTTTGGTATCCATTCGGTAAGGCACTCAGTATCCTCCACTGTAAAATGAGGATAATAACATGTACCTCATTGGATTACGAGGATTAAATAAGCTCATATCAATACAAAAGTAAAAGATGGCATCTGGCACACGGCAAACTCTATATTATTTCAATGCAGTGATTCCAGGAGGATCAGGGGCTAC